CCCCCCCCCCCCCTCAGCACATATCCAACAAAGTACAGTTTAAGCTTCTACATAACGAGAATGTATTATGAGTGCCATTACTTAAATCAAGGGGAGAATGAGGAGTGTTGGGGGTGATGAGTAGCGGCTGTGTAGGAGGGGAAATATTTTTTAATCCAGATACTAAAGCGGCCACATCAATGGTTGGGCCATCGATTCCACCAACTTGCCCTCCACGTTGGCTTGAGTGCTGGGCAAGAATCTTCAAGCCTTAAATTCCCACATTATACACATTAAAATCCATTGGATGTATGTCTTTAAGCTTTGTTATGATGTCTATTCAAATTCGAAATGTGTCTGCAAATGTTTTTTTGTCGCGAAATGTAATGCTGAATACAGTATTTATAAAACATTTTCAGTAAAATGGTGTAACAGCCTCCGGGCGGCATGAGGTAGGGAGGTGGTGGTGTTGTTGTTTTTGTGCGCCCCTGTCTGAAAAGGTAAACTATGAATGTGGTATACAAATTAAGACAATACTAACTCACAAACGTGTCATGATAGTATTTAATTCACGTCAAATGTGTTGCTAATGTCCCTCATGCAATTGCACAGTCCATCATAACTGTAGTCTTGTTTCCCCGTTATGCTCATCACAGACAGCGAAGGAGACGTCTTGAGCGGGTATCTACAAGTCGCCGTGTGTTCTTCGTTGCATCCTGAATGGATCGGCATATAAAGCAATAATGTACCTTTTTCAATGTAATTGGCAATAATGTTAACGCTTTCCAGCTTAAAGATAGCAAAGGTTAATTAGTACATTAGCTCTGTCCGTCCTTTATGTAGCGGGGTGATTGGCACGATAACTCGTAAAGATGATCCAATATGAACTAAATGTTTGTCGCTAAAAGGCCCTGGCTCGGAGTCCCGACCCTACCGGCCGGGGCGTGCCCTCTCCGGTAGAGCCGCTATCCGAGCCCCGTTGTCTCATTGCGGCCTACGGACCCCCTGCCCCCACTGCTTCCTTGTGCCAAATAATTTCGTTGAAGCTGCTGTGTTGTGTGTTTAAATTTCGATTTAAAGCTTTTGTTACTGCAGGGATTCATCTTCTTGGGTCTTTCGTTGAAGCTGCTGTGTTGTCGTGTGTTTAGTTTGTTGTCCTTCCCACGCACATCCGATTAGCGCGGTCAGCTACGTACGGTGTGAAAGAAGTTCAACATACGTACACATACATAGCTGGAGCGATCGATATTATCGAAGTGTATATGAGCGACACAACCACGTACAGACGACGCGTGGTCTTCATATTTAGATTTACGACCTATTGTGTCTTAAAGACAAAGGGGTTTTTGTTGTTGTTGAACTTACGTTTGGAATTTCATGAAGGTAATGTTCCTACAGCCCTCGGGCGCTCATGAGAACATGTGTTAATCGATGAAGCCATGGGATAGCAACCGTGTTGCACACACACACAACACACCTGTCAACCCTTTATCAGTGCCCTACCTGATCACAGAACAATTCAGACCTTGCTGGTCACCCCGTGCCCGTTATAAACCTCAACGCACATCCTCCAAGTCACATCACAGGGGAGAGACACAGAAACACATTTTTGTTGGTTGCCTTTATTGAAACGGCAGTGCGCCGTATGGACCTGAAAACTCAATGTCCCTGTACAAGAATACGGGGCAAACCGTGTGGGTTGACAGCCATGTGCACATAACCACGTTCGTATGCATCTCTGGGCAAAATGAAACCGCTAGGATGAGCGACCGCCGTGCCTAACAGGTGTTATAGGCTGCGTGGAGGCAGTGACGTGCGGTGAGGTCAATGGCTGGGGAGGCACTGGCTCGTGTCAGAGCCAGATTCACACACTGAGGGGGCGTGGCCTCACTGGGGGCGTGTCCTCACTGAGGGGGGCGTGTTAGACACGCCCCCGTCAGTGAGGCAGATGTGATAGCTGCCTCCCCTGGTGCTTTTTCATTGCATTTTCATGACGGGACCAGTGAGCCTAAATATCTTTATACACATACGTTAAATAAGTTACCTGGAGTATGGAAGGACATGAAATGAAGGGGTCTACAAACACTACATTGGTGACATACTGAGATAGTAACAGGCACGCGCTTATTGTCCGCGCTCCATCCAGTTACTGAGGGGTTGCGCAATCAGAGGGGAGGCTGAGCTCGTCGCTGTCTCACCTCTCGTCTCTTCCTGTATTTGCAACGGAGCTCCGCAAATTTGGAGATTTTGACTATAAAAAATTAACCTGTAAAAACAAAGTTTTTCACTATAAATCCTTTATATGCGTGGCGGCTAGAGTCCTCTCGTCCTCTGGCTTGAGATGGCTGCCACCTATTGGTCAGATGATTGTCTGCCACCATTAAGCAATTGGTAATTAAATATAATTTATTTTTTCCTAAAAAGTGTAAAATTTTGGAAAAAAAAATTCACGAAAATTAATTGTCACGCACAACAAGTCTGTGTGCAAAATGTCAGCTCGATTGGATCACGGGAAGTGGGTTAAAAAACGACCGAAAGATTTGCACGGTCGTAAGCAAGCAAGCACACAAGCACGCAAGCAAGCAAGTGAACTTAATATAAAGGATTTAAAAATGATTGGAATCGTACAGAAATTACATTTACAACACAGATCAGTGGAAAAATCTTAACTTTTATTTTATTCCTTTTTTTTACTTTTCGTAACAGCTATTTTCATTGGAGTATGACAGGTGAGGCTCTGCCTCCCCTGCCTCCCCTGCCCGCACGTCCCTGCGTGGAGGGCAGCATTGCCTGTCGTTCTGCCGCACACGCCGTGGCTCTTGATCCCACGTCTGTGCCTCCCTTTCCCGGTCGCCACTAACCCGCCACTGACCAGGCCGGTGAAGTATGGTCAAATAACCCCCGTGACCCGCAGCAGTGGACCTATTCATAAACGGGCTGTGCATGTACAGGGGTAGGAAAGGCATGTGGGTGTACAGGGGTAGTAGTAGTATGGGTGTGTGAGTGTACAGGGGTAGGAAAGGCATGTGGGTGTACAGGGGTAGTAGTATGGGTGTGTGAGTGTACAGGGGTAGGAAAGGCATGTGGGTGTACAGGGGTAGTAGTAGTATGGGTGTGTGAGTGTACAGGGGTAGGATAGGCATCTGAGTGTACAGGGGTATTCGTAGTATGGGTGTGTGAGTGTACAGGGGTAGTAGTATGGGTGTGTGATTGTACAGCGGTAGTAGTATGGGTGTGTGAGTGTACAGGGGTAGGAAAGGCATGTGGGTGTACAGGGGTATTCGTAGTATGGGTGTGTGATTGTACAGCGGTAGTAGTATGGGTGTGTGAGTGTACAGGGGTAGGAAAGGCATGTGGGTGTACAGGGGTATTCGTAGTATGGGTGTGTGAGTGTACAGCGGTAGTAGTATGGGTGTGTGAGTGTACAGGGGTAGGATAGGCATGTGGGTGTACAGGGGTAGGGTGGCCATGTGGGTGTACAGCCACAACTTGCTTTTATATTTTAAAAACGATGGATAGTACCGTCCACCGTGTATATTGATGTATAACATTCTCTCTCGAGTTATGTTCGAGTATTAATGCGAGAGCACTTTGAGTGGCAGCTTTGTGCCAGAAAAGTGCTGCGTGTCTAAACTATTTGTGTTTACTTGATTTTGCACAGGTAGGATGGGTATGTGAGGGTACAGGGGTAGTAGGATGGGTGAGTGTACAGGGGTAGTCGTATGAGTATGTGAGTGTACAGGGGTAGTAGTATGGGTGTGTGAGTGTACAGGGGTAGTCGTATATGTGAGTGTACATGGGTAGTAGTAGTATGGGTGTGTGATTGTACAGGGATAGTAGGAAGGACATGCGAGTGTACAGGGGTAGTCGTATGAGTATGTGAGTGTACAGGGGTAGTAGTAGTATGGGTGTGTGAGTGTACAGGGGTAGTCGTATATGTGAGTGTACATGGGTAGTAGTAGTATGGGTGTGTGATTGTACAGGGATAGTAGGAAGGACATGCGAGTGTACAGGGGTAGTCGTATGAGTATGTGAGTGTACAGGGGTAGTAGTAGTATGGGTGTGTGAGTGTACAGGGGTAGTCGTATATGTGAGTGTACAGGGGTAGTAGTAGTATGGGTGTGTGATTGTACAGGGGTAGTAGGATAGGTATGTGAGTGTACAGGGGTAGTATATGTGAGTGTACAGGGGTAGTAGTAGTATGGGTGTGTGAGTGTACAGGGGTAGTCGTATATGTGAGTGTACATGGGTAGTAGTAGTATGGGTGTGTGATTGTACAGGGGTAGTAGTAGTAGTATGGGTGTGTGAGTGTACAAGGGTAGGATGGTTGTGAGTTTGCAGAGTAATGGGCCTAAGGTATGTGAGTGCGACACAGCCGCTAGAGTAGGCGGAGCTGGCTGTGAGAGTGAGGAGGAGGAGGGAGTGGGATGGGCGGAGGAGTGGGCTGGGTGGAGGAGGAGGAGAGAGTGGGCTGGGTGGAGGAGGAGAGTTCGGATGGGCTGGGTGGAGGAGGAGGAGTGTTGTGTGTCGCGGGGGTGGGTGGAAATGGCTGGAACGTTTGCGTTGAATTCGGGATCAAGTTTATTCAAGGGATAGGGGGAGGAGCAGTGTGAGTGGCCAAGGGGGTACAGGCGGAGGAGTGCGCGTGGGTGAGAGGCTGGGGGAGTGGAGATTCACTCGGCCTCAAATCGAGTACCTGGTGCGGTGTGATAAAAAAAAAAACATCGCCACTGGGGGAGACAAAGGCGGCCGGGCGTGGTGCTGACCACCCACCCACTGACCCCCTTGTAGAGCACCGTGCGGGGGCCTTCAATCGGCGCACTTTCCCCCAGCAGCCTGTTACAAAGTGCGCACGGGATGGGGGTGATCTCTGTCTTTGCGGTTCGGGATGGGATGGAAGGAGGGGGGGTCACTGTGAGCTGCGCTGGAATTGGGGCCAGGAGGAGGAGTGGGGAGGGGGGTTTGTGTGAAGGGGGGTTAGCGGTCTACGGGGGGAGCGGGGGAGGGAGGAAGGGAGGAAGGCTTGAGGGGTCTGGATGGGTTGGGCTGAGCGAGGAGAGGAGGAGGAGGGGTCCCACTGCCGGTTTCGTGCGAAAAGTGGAGACGTGGCAAAAGCCCCGCACCGCTCGCCCGACTCGCGCCCCGCTCGCCCGGCCCACTCGCCGGCTCCATTGACGACGACGACGACTCGCACGGTCCCACCGCGCTCCGCACGGAGAGGGTGAGTTGCGAGCAGTGTGCACGCTTTCACTTCTCGCCTTGCTATTGGCCGCTGCCGTGTCTTCGGAATCTCTCTCGACGCCGGACTCGCCCGTCGTCTTTCGGATCGCTCTCGTGACGAGTCGCAGTTAGTCGCCGGTGACTTTAACGACGTGGCAGGGTTAACGGTGCGGTCCTGTGAGCGGTTTGGGGGGAGCACCAGCCACGATTGATTGAACCCCGCCGCACGCAGCGCATCGCCGTAAGTGCCAATGATGGAGCATTGTGTGGCGCGTCTCGTCTGCGACGATCTGCGCCAACTCTCGTGGCGCAGATCGATTCGTTCGCGTGGACGCTGGGAGCCGACGGGATTCACTCACAGACGGCTCGGGTCACGGGCAAAAATAGGGACATTTTATTTCGTGCGCACACGGCACACCACATCACACCGTTATTGCTCCTCGTTACGGCTCGTAGTTGGAGTAGTTGCCTCTCTCTGTGGATGCGGCTTACGCGTGCCACCTCCTCCACTCGTCAAATCAGCGTGACAGCCTTGGGCTTTATCGTTTGTCAGAGACGAGAGAGAGGGGCGTGATCAGAGGGCAGCGTTGTTTGGCCGCTGTCAATGATGAGCCCACTTCGACGAGGTCATCATGATCATCGGTGATGGTCAAGGTCGCTTCTGAAATAAAAAAAAAGTTATGCAGTATAGCTCAGTGGGGCCTTATCCGGTCAAAAAATTAATTCATAAAACACGTATAGTTTAAAGTTTGTTTGGACGAAGCTGGATGTTGTAAAAGAATGCTCGCTTGTAATGCGCTGGGGACAGATGCAGGGGCAAGGCGACTTGAACCCGTGTTGCCCTTCGGCCTTCATCTCTTATTGATCACGCGGAAGACGAACGGAGAGGGTGGGGGGGTCTTGAGCAGTGTTGGCAAGACCAAGGAAACCTCGCTGATGACTTCTACACAAGTCTGGCGCCGTCATCGCAGACACGAACGACTGTGTGCCCCCCGCCCCCCAGTGTACGTGCTAAGACAGTGGCAGATAATGGATGCTGCTGCTGCTGCTGCTACTGCCTTGGGGTGCAAATAGTCAGCACACTGGTATTGAAATTCAGAGGTCACCAGATTGCAAATAGATTTATCTCCTCGGCGCAGAAGTTTATTCGGTCTGCCCCTTCTTCCTTTGTTCCACCCAGCGGGTTTGATGCATTGGTGGGGCAAAACGTGGGAACTCTCACCCCCCCCAACCCCTTCCGAGGCGTCTGAAAAGCGTGGAAGAGTTGAATACCCTCTAGATTATAGCTCTCTAGAGTGGGAGGCTCTTTTATCATTGGTGGGGTGAACGAGCAGTTGCAAGGGCTGCACCTGTAACACATGTCTAACGTATGCGCCTGACGAGGTGCAATGGTGACATGAAAGCCATAGTCTGGTGGACTGAAGCCTCGGGTTGGAGCATCGTGCAGGGCTGGGGCCAGAATGTGCCCGAGTGACCCACTGGCAAGAAGGCGAGGGATGCGAGGTCTCGGTAGAAGGCATCTCGTGAGGACTGTGCGTCTGTGACGGCCTCTTGGCGGGCATCATGAGTGTGCTGGAATTTCCTCCCACACATTAATAATCATTATTAAGTGCACTCATTCCAGAACATCGCAAGCAGGGCTTTCGATGGAAAATTATCTTGAGATTTGGTGAGACTTCGTTGGGTAATCAGAGACGCACAAACCACTGTCAGTGACAAGTCTCGCTTGCAAGCCCTGCATATATAACCTGAGGGATTGTGGGTGCCGTCTTGATGGTGTCCGGCTTGTTCTCTGGCCGAGCAGAAGACCGGGCCTCTGGAGTTTGGCAATGATGGAACAGCGGTGGAGGACGCTGCTGCTGCTGCCGCTGCTGGTGCTGCTGCTGCCCATGGCTTCACACTGCGAGGTGTTCACCTCCATAGGTAAGAGCGTCCGTGCGTCCTCCTGCCCCCTCCTGCCCCCTCCTGCCCGTGTGTTCAGGACCCCGGGTACTCCTTGCTGACCCACCCCTACTGGACGTCTGCGTGAAAGAGCTTCATAGCTCATCGGATTCTTCCAGTCGAAATAAAAATTCGGATTCTGATACAGGGACTCCCTCTGCTTACGAACGAGTTAAAGGTTCCAGAGGTCTGTTCGTAATTCGATTTGTTCCAACTTTACACCTGTCGATTCCAAACGTATGGCATGTACACTAAACATGGGGGGGGGGGGTGGCTTTAGAAGTTGTATAATCTGTAGATGCAGATGTCACTGGTTCTTCATGTTCTGCAGATGTAGATGCCACCACCACCATCCATTGCGCGGCGGTTGAACTTATAACTCAATCCGAACAGACAACTGGACATACGGACAGGTTTGTTCGTATCTCTGAAAGTTCGTGAGTCGATTGTTTGTAAGTAGAGTAGTCCTTGTACTCCGATCCTGTTGCCCAGGCCTCAAGCAGCCACGTGGCAAGATTTCCACGTCGGTAGCTGGGTGGTGCTAGTCATGTTTGACGTGACTGCCTGAAATCCATCACTGTAGGTAGCAGCGAAGGTTGGTGGCTCACACAGAGATGATGTTGTGAAACTCCCAGTGGGCGTCGAGGTACCATACCCTGGTGAGCAAAGAGAAGGGACTAATCGCTATCTGTTTCCATCTGTACGGGGATAGAGCATTGCCCTCTCGCTCACGTGGATTTTTTCCTCTGGGTGCTCCAGTTTCCTCCCACATGTATGATAAACATTCATCGTTAATTGGCTGAAAAAATTCTTAAAACAAAAACCCAATGCAGAAAGACCCTCCCTGTTTGTTTAAAACGATGTTCACCCTTATATTAAAGGATGTTGAGTCACTTTCTATTCCTTGTGTGTATGTGTACACATTCTTGCAATTTCACCTCAACACAATACCACCGTCTCCATTACTCAGCTCGCACCGCGGCACTCGCGCCCAACGCTCGCCCCCTGACACTGAATTCCCAGCCCAACGCTCACTCCCTGACACTGAATTCCCAGCCCAACGCTCGCCTCCTGACACTGAATTCCCAGCCCAACGCTCACTCCCTGACACTGAATTCCCAGCCCAACACTCACCCCCTGACACTGAATTCCCAGACCAACGCTCACTCCCTGACACTGAATTCCCAGCCCAACGCTCACTCCCTGACACTGAATTCCCAGCCCAACGCTCACCCCCTGACACTGAATTCCCAGCCCAACACTCACCCCCTGACACTGAATTCCCAGACCAACGCTCACTCCCTGACACTGAATTCCCAGCCCAACGCTCACTCCCTGACACTGAATTCCCAGCCCAACGCTCACCCCCTGACACTGAATTCCCAGCCCAACGCTCACCCCCTGACACTGAATTCCCAGACCAACGCTCACTCCCTGACACTGAATTCCCAGCCCAACGCTCACTCCCTGACACTGAATTCCCAGCCCAACGCTCACTCCCTGACACTGAATTCCCAGCCCAACGCTCACCCCCTGACACTGAATTCCCAGACCAACGCTCACTCCCTGACACTGAATTCCCAGCCCAACGCTCGCCCCCTGACACTGAATTCCCAGCCCAACGCTCACTCCCTGACACTGAATTCCCAGCCCAACGCTCACTCCCTGACACTGAATTCCCAGACCAACGCTCACTCCCTGACACTGAATTCCCAGCCCAACACTCACCCCCTGACACTGAATTCCCAGCCCAACGCTCACCCCCTGACACTGAATTCCCAGACCAACGCTCACTCCCTGACACTGAATTCCCAGCCCAACGCTCACTCCCTGACACTGAATTCCCAGCCCAACGCTCACTCCCTGACACTGAATTCCCAGCCCAACGCTCACCCCCTGACACTGAATTCCCAGACCAACGCTCACTCCCTGACACTGAATTCCCAGCCCAACGCTCGCCCCCTGACACTGAATTCCCAGCCCAACGCTCACCCCCTGACACTGAATTCCCAGCCCAACGCTCACTCCCTGACACTGAATTCCCAGCCCAACGCTCGCCCCCTGACACTGAATTCCCAGCCCAACACTCACCCCCTGACACTGAATTCCCAGACCAACGCTCACCCCCTGACACTGAATTCCCAGCCCAACACTCACCCCCTGACACTGAATTCCCAGCCCAACGCTCACTCCCTGACACTGAATTCCCAGCCCAACACTCACCCCCTGACACTGAATTCCCAGACCAACGCTCACCCCCTGACACTGAATTCCCAGCCCAACACTCACCCCCTGACACTGAATTCCCAGCCCAACACTCACCCCCTGACACTGAATTCCCAGACCAACGCTCGCCCCCTGACACTGAATTCCCAGACCAACGCTCACTCCCTGACACTGAATTCCCAGACCAACGCTCGCCCCCTGACACTGAATTCCCAGACCAACGCTCGCTCCCTGACACTGAATTCCCAGACCAACGCTCACTCCCTGACACTGAATTCCCAGCCCAACGCTCGCCCCCTGACACTGAATTCCCAGCCCAACACTCACCCCCTGACACTGAATTCCCAGACCAACGCTCACTCCCTGACACTGAATTCCCAGACCAACGCTCGCCCCCTGACACTGAATTCCCAGACCAACGCTCACTCCCTGACACTGAATTCCCAGACCAACGCTCACCCCCTGACACTGAATTCCCAGCCCAACGCTCGCCCCCTGACACTGAATTCCCAGCCCAACGCTCACTCCCTGACACTGAATTCCCAGCCCAACGCTCACCCCCTGACACTGAATTCCCAGCCCAACGCTCGCCCCCTGACACTGAATTCCCAGCCCAACGCTCGCCCCCTGGCACTGAATTCCCAGCCCAACGCTCGCCCCCTGACACTGAATTCCCAGCCCAACACTCACCCCCTGACACTGAATCCCCAACGGGTGGGTGCCTAAATGCACCGGGCAACATGTGTGAACATCTACGTTGCGAGCAAGCGTGTTGGTTACCGTATGTGTTTCATATCACAAAACACGCACAAAAACATACTAAAAAACACACACATGTTAAATCGTTCTCGAGTCGATTAATTCATGCCAGAGTAGCTTCCAACGGATACAGCTCTCTTGCTTCTCGCAAGCCCATCTAATGATTTTCTTCGCGGCAATCTTGGCAAGATCAAACTTCGTATCACGGAAACATCGCCCCCGTTTTCCGGAAAACAGGCCTCATTCGGTAAAGCGCGTACAGCGGTAACTCGCGTGTGATAAAACCGCATTCGCCGAGATGTGCTCTGCAGCATGACCTTGTTTTAAGGGATGGGGGGCGGCCATATGACCACAATGTTAAAAATAAACTTGAAACAAACGTTCAAGCACCCAATATAAAGAGAAGCGATGCGTTCCGCGGTGTGCAAGGAAAGTGCCCCCTTGTAGAAGAAGGGCATTAGAGCGACAACGCGTGGACATCTGTGTTTCCACTTCCACACTCGCCGACATCGCCAACCCGCCCTGGCCGGCGTGGTGAAGTATGGCCCACCAGACCCCAGGACACGGAATCCAACAGTGGATTGACACAAGGGCTGTACACGTGCGCAACGTTCTGGAGCGTCACGCACCGTACAGTCCATCGGTCTCCTAAGCGGCGGTGGCGAGATGTTAACTACCTCGCCTGGTGTACAGGAAGTCGTGGGTTTGATCCCAACCCCGATGCCTGTATATTTGGAGTTTGATTGTTTTCCCCGTGGTTTTTTTTCCCTCCACATTCAGAAACATGCGTTTAGAGTACTTAGCTGCTATAAATTTTCACATGATGAGTCACTTCGTTGAGCTATCATTTGTGGCCAGGTTGCTTCTGAAAAAAAAGCTATATAGCTCAGTGGGCCTTGGTAAAATAAATTTTTTTTTTTTGTTAAATCGTTGGTTAACTCAAGGAATCTCTCATGGTACAATCCACCATTGCGACCTCCTCCCCTATTCATAGCTCCCTCGCAGCAGCAGCTGTCAAGCCAAGAGGCTGTGGCCCGGCCACTGGCTGTCTGCACCCTCCAGGTGTCCTCGCAAACAGCACCTGCAACAGGGGTCAGCCGGAGAGACCAACGGCATCCAAAGGTCATGCCGTTGACCGTAGGCAAATGCTCGCAATGTTGTTCAGAAAATTAGTTTTTGTTATATATAGGTAAGAGCTCTAGAACAGGCAAGTCCTGGCCGTTGTGCAGCATTTCTAGGACTGTGTGTGCTTGGTGGTCGTGCTCAAGAGTTAGGCAGGCCCGGCTCAAACTCCTCGCGAACGAGTGTTGGCTTGGGTTAGGCCGAAGGAACATTTTGGTGTTGCAGGGGCCCAACCTCGCGCCTGCCCTGAGAGCGGGCAGCGTGAACTCGCGAATGAGGCAGTACTTTTTTCCAGCTTGCAATTCTAAACGCTCGTCCCACTCCACTCCCCCCTCCCCCGGCCTTTCTGCCGACGCGTACGAACCGCGCCGTAAGTTGGGCCACGAAACTTTCCGCAGCGCTCTTTCCAGGGAGCGGCAGCCGCACACCCCAACCAGACATTTGCCCTGCACGTGTAGCCGCAGGTTTCTTGATGCAGCCCACATTGCCCGGGTACAAGTGTTTATAATTGACTGCAGCACTGTGCTCAGCAGTGATGTGACGATGATTATTAGGCAGGAGAGCTACGTGTTTAATCTTTAGTCCTGTCCCCTCTTGAACTTTCGTCAAGGCATTTCCGACCCCCTCCCCCACTTGAAGTCTTCAAGCAGCGTTTTCCTTTTTTCTGCCTCATGGCCTCTCTCTCCCAACTTCCTTCCAGAACTTCCTTCACCAAGCTTTCACATCTGAAAATGAGGCCGATCCACACGTGTTTGTCTTTGCTGGATTGTTCTTCTTAGTCTCGTTCTAATCAAGACGCCTTTCCCGCTAAACCTTCTTTAGAACATCCTCGTTTCTCTTGATCTCCATCCATCCATCTGGTTGTACTACTTTGTGTATGCAACGTAGGTAGCCAACCGTGCTAATCGGAGGTGCGGGGAAAGGACAACAAACTAAACACGAAAAGCATTTCGAAAAAAAAAAAATCTAGATGATTTAAAAGTGCAAAGCTGCAGCGGCTTCCTAATATCGGACGATAGAGCGTTGCAGACAGCTGCAGAAACTCTCTGAAAGCGCGCGATGCGGTGACCGTCTTTGTTCGAGGGTTGGCCAACGGCCGCTGCTGTGAGGATGTGGGAGTTCGCCTTATGGTAGATGCACCTTGACGACAGCAAAACCCGCATCTCGGTGCAAACCGAGTAGTCTAAACAGCGTTTCAAGGCTACTCGAGAGAGGGCACGGGTTGCCCGTTTGACGGCTTCCTTTCAGCTGCGAACGATCCATGGTTGTTTGTCGGAGTGTTATTATTTCCGCACGACAGTGGCGATTGCCCGGGGCATTTGAATGGGCACGGATTGGCGACTATTAAAAACCCATTCTAGAATTCCGCTGCGGCATTGCGCGGCGCGCACACTATCGCGTTACACATTGTACGCGGGCCGTGCAGTGGCACTTCGCTCGATGGTCCGCGCGCGTGTTCGTTTCAGTCGCACCTCGTACGGCTCCCACGTTTAGTCCAAGCCGCTGCTGGATGAGGGCAGGGCCGCCCTCCCCCATCCACCCACGCTTTGCTGGCCACGAGAGAGAGAGATTTTGAACATCGCCACGCAACGGAATGATTGTATGCACTGCCCACTCAACGGCACATTACGCCCTCGGCACCACCTGGTGTCTACGCACGGTGCTCGCCCAACCCAAGCGCCGTCCGGGTTCTTACCCTGTTGAGCTTTCTGGTTTCTGACGATATTGGAAGCTCGGGTGGAGACCCATAACAGGTTCAGATGTCGCTGACCTGTTGCGATAACCACGGCCGGGATACGGTCACCGCATTGCCGGGCTTTGTGGCACGGTGCGGTGCGCATGCCACACGCGCAGATCTCCCCGACCACCAAAAACTGACTCTACGAATCCTGCAGGGCAGATGACCGACCTGGTGTTCATGGAGAAGGACCTCCTCATCTCCCTCAACGACTACATCCAAGCGGAGGAGAGCAAGCTGGGCCGCATCAAACGGTACGTGAGCGCGCGCTCTCACACCGACCCCTCGGTCGCCGCGGCGGATCAGGCGCTCTCCCTTACCCTGTCGCGTGTGGCTGCGTGCGACTCGGTGCATGGGTACGGGGGAGTGTGTGTTTGTGTGCGCGCGCGTGTGTGGAGGGGAGCGGTAGCACGCTGCGCTATGAATCTGGCCACCCGGGTTCGATTCCCGCTCACGGCCAACACCAGTTGACGATTATCTGAACCGGTCCTGGGCCTTCGTTAGGTCGACTCGGCCTCAAATGAGTACCTGGTGCGACGTGTAAACATCATCGCTGGGGATACAAAGGCGGCCGGGAGTGGTGTTGGCCACCCACTCCTCGTGTGCTGTGCCGGCCTTCATAGGTGCCACTCACCAACAGCACTTGCCCCAGCAGTCTGTTAAGGCTTAATATTCGAGGGCATTTTGGCTAAATATTTTACAATTACCGGATTGTAAAATATTTTTAGAAAATGTTTCTGAAGCCAACATTATGTTGGCGTGCAAATAGCAGTGAGCCAAAGTACTTTGTCCTCATTCAACTCATCTAATGTTTGAATTTTACGGACCCCAAAGTCAAACAGAGTAGACGATGTTTACTTCCATGGAGTCTGTGGAGTAAACACAGCCTTGCCAGCGAGCAGAGAGAGAAATCCAGAGAGTGGGAAACATCCTCTCTCCTGCGGCTTACATTACTCCGCTCGCTCACATGCTCGCTCACTAGCTCTCTCACTAGCTCTCTCACCCTATCACGCACACGCTCGCTCGCTCTCACGCACACACTCGCTCTCTCGCTCGCTCGCTGCTTCGTCATGTGCCGCGGTCGTGACACAGGTGGGTGGAGAAGGTGCAGAGGGTGATGGAGAAGGCCACATCGGACCCAGAGACCTTTCTGGGCCACCCCATCAACGCCTACCAGCTGGTGAAGAGGATGAGCCACGGCTGGGCGCAGCTTGAGAGCATGGTGCTGCAGGACACCACCGAGGGTGCGTTGGCGCTTGCACGCGACCGTGTGCGTGCGTGTGGAGCACTCGTGCTCACAGGGAAGGGCGGTGTCCATGGTGCGTGTAATCGGAGTATTTTTGATCCGTAAGCGGTATCTGATTCGGCCAAGGAGGCTCGGTCGGTGGAGCAAGCGGCTCGCGATCTGAAGGTCGCAAGTTCAACTCCTGGTAAGGGGGAGGGGCGCGGGGGGTGGGGGTTGACTCAGCCGTCATCCCTCTAGGGTCGTGATACAATAGGTACCACTTATGTATTCATACTGGAGGAATCAGATGAGCTATGAAGCTCTTTTTCACAGATGTCCTGTAGGGGCACGGGGTAAGAACGTTTCATTGCTCATTTGCACAAGTCGCTTCGGACTGTATTTAAGTGACAAACCTCAGAGTAATTGTTACTTTGCATCTAAATCGCACAAGACGTGGGGTTAGTTGGTCATTTGTATCTTCACAACATTGCTCCAGTAATTTGAATGTATTTGAATATAACGTGTAGTTTGAATGTATATCACCCAACTCAACTTGCACACGTACGCGTACCCGTTGCGTGCGCGCTGTCCGTACGTTATGTACGTTGAACCTCTTCCGCACCGTACGTAGCCGACCGTGCTAATCGGAGGTGCGGTCGTGACCCCCGACGGAGCGGCTGATTTGTGACCGTCGCGATCCCCCAGGCTTCGTCTCGAACCTGACGGCCCAGCGACAGTACTTCCCCACGGACGAGGACCAGAGCGGTGCCGCCAAGGCGCTGCTGCGCCTGCAGGACACCTACCGGCTGGAGGCGCGCACCATGGCCAACGGCCTGCTGCCCGGTGAGCGACGGCGTCGCCAGCGGTGACTCCCCTCCTCCGCTCGCTAAAAGAAACTATTAAAACTATTTTTTATTTATTTTACCAGGTAAGGCCTCCCCCCTGAGCTAAAGAAGCTGACCCTGGCTATCGCAAATGATAGCCCAACGATGTGGCTTATCATCGTGCGGACATTTATAGCAGCCACATACTCCACGCGACCATGGGGAGAGAGACACCCCAAACTCCAAATGTACAGCAGGCGTCAGGGTTTGGATCGAACCCACGACCTCCTGCACACCAGGCGAGGTAGTCAACATCTCGCCACCGCAGCACCGTTAAGGTGACGCCCCGTGCGTGGGCACAGGTCCTCGCGCGGTCGGTAACGGCGCTCGGCTCGTCGCCTGCGCACGACGGGCGACAATGGAGCGGGGGGTCGTGTTTCCGGGCCTGGTTGAGATGGCCCCGCTGTGCGGAGGCCAGCTTTCGGGTATCGCAAGATTTGCCCTTAGTTCCTGTATGTGTGTACGTGGAACTATATTTCGCGCCGTACGTAGTCAACCGTGCTGACCGGAGGTGTGATTTGTAAGCGGTTTCCTTGACCCTGATCCAAGATGCCTCCGCTTGCTCGCGGTCTCATCTCACAGTTAACATCTCGCCGCGTATACGGCGGCTTGACAACGATGCCGATGTTCTCCTCCTCTGCCCAAGGGGTGACCGAGCCGCAGAGGGCGAGGCTGTCGGTGCACGACTGCTTCCAGCTGGGACGCATCTCCTACACGGCGAGCGACTACTACCACACGGTGCCCTGGATGGAGCAGACGCTGCGCATGATCGACGAGTTCGACGCCGCCGGCACGACCGGGGCGGAGGCCGAGGCCCCCGGCAGCGCCGGCGCCGGGCTGGTGGGCACGGACGAGCCCCCCGGCCGGGCGGAGGTGCTGGACTACCTCTCCTACTCGGTGTACCAGCTAGGGGACGTGGAGCGGGCGCTGGCGCTCACGCACCAGCTGCTCGCCAACGGTGGGCGCTCGACAACAACAGGAACAACTACTAAGTGGCGGTGACGTCACCACGGCGCTTGCGCCAATGCTAGGTGCACTTTGAGGCCACGTGAAGTGTTGAAAGCTCGCTGACGGGAGGTCACGGGACAGACCCAGGCGCCATGGCTTGACTCATTGAAATGACTGGCAGATGGACCACCTGTGCCCCCTACTGTGCCAACGCACACAGACGCACGCACGCTCACGCACTGAACAACAACAACTGCCCTTCACCACTAAGTGGCGGTGACGTCACCACTTCGCTTGTCCCAGATAGGTGCACTTTGAGGCCATGTGAAGTGTCAAAGGCCCGCTGGCAGGAGGTCATGGAACAGGGGCGAGATGTTAACTCCCTCGCCTGGTATGTAGGAGGGGTTTTGGGGGCTTTATTCCGACCCTGACGCCTGCTGTATATTTTGAGTTTTCGGGGTGTCTGTTTCCCCGTGGTCGCATGGATTTTTCTCCGGGTCCTCCGGTTTATCTCTCCACATTTAGAATCATAACACGTGTTTACAATATTTGGCTACTGCTATCAATTGCAACATGATGAGCGACTTCGTTGAGCTGTCATTTGTGGGCAGGTTGCTTCTGAAAAAGAGCTATATAGCTCAGTGGGCCTTACCTGGTAAAATAAAAAAAATGCTTTTTTTATTTTCAAATTGGGGGGCCCCACCTACACAGTATTATTTACCCTATTGAGGCCACAGTGTTCTTGACGAAAGCATTGATTGGTTTGTCCTACGTCGTGGGCCACTTTTGAAATTTCTCAGCCAAGGGATGGAGCTCATCCGCACGCAAGTAGCCAGCCGTGCTAATCGCAGGTGCAGGGGAAGGACAACAAACTAAACACAAAAAGCAATTCTAAAGAAATTAGTTTTCAGTCTAGATTTAAAAGTGCATAGCAGCTTCACAGGACCACGAGCGAGCGAGAGAGAGAGAGAGATGGACTCGGCTCGGAGAGGCCCTCATCCGGCAGTGGATTGTCAGGATGGAAAAAACGGGTTGGGCGGCATTGGGTCAGGCCTGGCGGGACAGGTCGCGGGGGTCGCGACGGCCGGGGCCCGGTTGGGATGGATGGGGTCCTGGGGCGGTCCTGACCGTGACCGTGGCTTTGCCTCCGCTGCTCCTGTCGCCGCAGACCCCGGGCACCAGCGCGCGCAGGGCAACGTGCGCTACTTCGACTACGTGCTGGAGCAGAAGAGGAAGTCGGGCAACACCTCGAAGGTGGAGGCGAGCCGCCCGCCCGACGCTTACCCTGAGCGCTACGCCTACGAGAAGCTGTGCCGCGGGGAGGGCATCAAAATGGTGCGGAGATGATCGAGCGGACGCACACAAGCACACGAAGATAAAGATTCCCCCCCCCCCCCTGTGTAGCCTTAACAGACCGTAGGGGCAAGTGCTGTTAACGAGCACCTATGAAGGCCGGCACGGCACACGAGGGGGTGGGCGGCCAGCACCACGCCTGCCTTCGTTTCCCCAGTGGTGATGTTTACACATAATCAGAATCTTTTTCCTGGAGAAATCCGATGAGCTACGAAGCTGTTTGTCACAGATGTTCAGTAAACAGATTTCCAGTCTCATTTGAGGCTGAGACGGCCGAGGGGATTCCCATGACCGGTTCAGATAATCATCACTGGTGTTGTCCGTGAGCTGGAATTAAACCTGGGTCGCCGGGTTCATAGCACGGCATGCTAACCGCTACACTACGACCCCTTCGTGCGCCGTATCGGCCTTTATAGGCTCTGCACGCTAACGACACTTGCCTCAACAATCTATTGAGGCTGTATGGGGCCGGGGAGACTTTCATCCAGCAGTGGATTGATTACAGCCGCAGCTGCTGCTCATCGATGGACGATAACGACGCTGGCGTGCGTCGTGCGCTCTCCCCTCTCCCCGCGGCAGACGTCGAGGAGGCGAAGGCGCCTGAGCTGCCGCTTCCAGGACGGCGGGCGAAACCCGCGGCTGCTGCTGTCGCCGGCGCGCGAGGAGGAGGAGTGGGACCGCCCGCGCATCGTGCGCTACCACGGCGTGATCAGCGACGGCGAGATGCAGCGCATCAAGGAGCTCGCCAAGCCGCGGGTGAGCGTGGGAGTCGGTGTTCGTCGGGACTGTGCGAGGCTCGCGACGGCCGTGCCAGAGCCACCGGGCTGGTGACGATGAGGTTCTTGTCTCGAGCCCTCGGACCCGCTGCCTCCATGGGTAAAATATGATTTGATACGATGACTGATTGGCCGCACGGAGAACCGTCACAACACTGGAGTGGCTGGTTTCATCACAGGCGACTGTGACACGGATCTGGTCGTGGGATTGCAGGAATGCTGGCCCGGCATTCTGACGTGCGGTGTGAGCCTCCTGAGTAAGAACTTTTATAATGCACACTCTTTATGAGTCCCATTCCTGAACCACCTCTACATTTATTTCACTCGCAACCTCGAGCAAGTCCGGTCATGCACTGGGATTGCGCTGCTCGGTAAAGCCTCGCTGGGCTACCAACTAAACTTTATATTTTACCAGGCAAGGCCCGCTGAACTATGACCCCCACTGATAGCTCACCAAAGTGGCTTATCATTACGTGGATATTGATATCAGCCAAATACTCTGAATGCGTGTTTCTAAATGTGGAGGGAAAAACCGGAGAACCCGAAGAAAAATCCACGCAACCACGGGGGGATGAGACAGCAAACTCCAAATATACAGCAGCTGTCAAGGTCAGGATCGAACCTGCGACCTCCTGTATACCAAGCGAGGTAGTTAACATTTCGCAGCCACCGCCACTCCCACCACCACCACCCTCCCCCCTCCACCACAACCCCCCGGGGGAGGGGCGTCTGGAATTCAGAGCGACCGCTGGCGAAACTAAACGCTCCTCTCTCAGGAATGTTGGGCCGAGGCTCGGTTACCGGGCGACGCGAATGCCTCGACTATTGCGCCGCAGTGGCGAGATGTTATAACCACCTTACCTGGCATGCAGGAGGTAGTGGGTTCAATCCCAACCCTGAAGCCTGCTGTTTTATTTGGAGTTTGTGGATTTCCCCCCGGGTCCTCGGGTTTTTCCCTCCACATTTAGAATCTACATCACGCGTTTAAGAGTATTTGGCGATGGTAAGCCCACTTCGTTGAGCTGTCGTTTGTGGTGAGGCTGCTACTGAAAAAGGAGCTACATAGCTCAGTGGGCCGTACCTGCTAAAATCAAAATAGTTTATAGTTAAGTTTTTATTCACGAGGGCCTCTCCGCGACCGCCACCCCCCTCACCCCTCGGCGGCTGCGGCACAGCCGGCGAGCGAGAATCTAGGGCAAAGGTGACGTGACGAGCGTAAACAAAGTTACCGTGTGGGGGGCATCCCCGCCAAGTAACAACGGGAAGAGCTGCGGACGCCAACCGTGGCAGAGAGCCACTTGGGGCTCGAGGCGGCAGCGGTTTGTACAGTTAACCCGCCGCCAGACTGTTACCGTGACCTTTACCGTGCCACTGGTGTAAACAATCTGAACGAAGGCCTCGTTGACAGTGGTGTAGTAGCTGACGAGATCATCCAGCAGTGGACTTGATCGCGGCTGACGATGACGACGATTACGACGATTGCGATGACGACGGATTTCTACTTCTTTCACATTGCGTTTGAATGAACAAAAAAAATACGAGTGGGTCACAATAGCGTGTTTAACGTTGCGAGCCATCTCACGGCATCCGGGGAGGGGGGGTGGGAGCTGAGTGGAGTTGGCTCGTTCCTCCAGATTGCGCGAGTTTGCACCGGGCAGTTCTCGTATGTCCTGATGCACTCGCCGCATTCACAGTTCGGTGGTTCCCTGATCTATTGACCTATTGATGACGGATCAAGTTACAGATAACCGTTCACACTACCAATCGTTGACGCGCCCCGCCACTGCCGCTGCTGCTGCCGCTGCTGCCGCTGCTGCTGCAAGTGAACTCACTCACAATGGGGTGGGCAGGCACAGGGTGGGGGGGGAGTCTATAACGATGTGTGTACAATATGTTGAACTTCTTTCGCACCGTATGTAGCCAACCGCGCTAATCAGAGGTGCGGGGGGAAGGACAACAAACTAAAAACAAAAAGCAGTTCTAAAGAAATGAGTTTCAATCAGGATGATTTATAAGTGCATAGCTCCAGTGGCTTCCTAACATCGGAAGGAAGAGCGTTCCAGACGGCCACAGAAGCGCATCAGAAAGGGCGCGATGCGGTGCCCGTCTTTGTTCGATGGCCATCCAAAAGCCGCTGCTGTGAGGAGGACCGTAGTTCGCGTGATGGTTTATGCTTCTTGACGAGATCAGCAAGGTGTTGTGGTTAATTTGCGGCCAGCACTTTGTGTGTAATAGCGCAACCTCATAATGTATTCGTTCAGCAACCAGAAGCCAATGCAGCTCGGCGAGCACTGGACAGACATGGTCGGATCTTGCAGTGCCCGTCACGACGCGTGCCAGCGATGAAGCGATAATGACGGTGGCGGCGGCGGCGGCGATGCCGGTCGCTCAGAGCCACTGATGGCGATCTCGCCGCTGGGCCCCCGTCTGTGTGCTGTGCGCCGGCTGCAGTTGCAGAGAGCCACCGTTAAAAACCCGCAGACGGGCGTGCTAGAAACGGCCGACTATAGGGTGAGCAAGAGGTAAGCTGCCCGAGCACCGCCAGCCGCGGGCAGGGCCCTTCTCTCCCTCCTCTTCGCTGTTCCCATTGGCGACTCCTCGGGGAATCCGTCGAGAGCTGCTGCAGCAAGTCGGCGCGTGCGGCGTGACGGCGCGTTTGCGTACACGGGGGGGGGACGGATTGTTTGGCGGTGGTGCACAAGCGCAAACGACGACGCAAACTCGACCTGTTCGGTCAACAACGCTGCGGCCTTGAAGGTGATAATATAAACAACGTGGCGACGTGTCGGGCAATGGCCCTCCTTCTTGAACTTATGTTGCTAAATACGAAGGAGACTTCGCAGCGATGACACTCCACTGCTCCTGACACGCTTGTCTGGCTTGGCCACCTGGATGCAGAAGTGGAGCTGTTGCTCTGAATCTACATCTGCCGCCACACTAAAGAAGAAGACTTATGTTCCATGGAGAAGGGACATTGCCCGAAACGTCACCGATTACACATATTTCATTTTAATTCCGCAGTGTTATTGACGAACGCGTTGAGTTTCATATCCAAGGACTCCTCTACTACGAACTTTCAGAGGTACAAACAAATCTGTCCATATGTCCAGTTGGCTTATTCGGACCGATAGTCGTAAGATCAACCGCCACGCAATCGATGGTGGTGGTGGCATCTACAGAACATGAAGAACCAGTGGCATCTACATCTGATCCTTATGGCGGTACCCCGGGGTCTCAAATAATACAAACTGTCCGAGGCAATTAAATATTTTATTTCTGGGACACAATTTTTTCCAGGGGTGTTACTTAACTCCGCGACTGGGGTACCAATCAATCCGAAATCAGTGCCCCACTCCGCGATGTAGAAACGCCAAACATTAGCATAAAAAATTAGTTTTCAACAAATTCAACTTTGAATAGTGCATCGTGTAACAGCTCGTCGAGATGAGTCGACTGCCGCATCGCCGACCATCAACAGACTAAAACTGACTGCATCACGGACATTGTGCGAGAGCCGGGGCACTATGGTACCCCAGGGTACCGCCATAAGGTTCATCTGCAGAACGTGGAGAACCGGTACACATCGACATCTGCAGAACATGAAGAACCAGTGGTATCTACATCTACAGGAGATTATACGACTTTTAAAGCCATTGCCCATGTTTGGTGCACACGCCGTACAACACGTTTGGAATCGACTGGAGTAAAGTTGGACTTACAAACAGACCTCCAGAACCTAACTCGTTCGTACGTAGCGGAGTCCCTGTACGTGCACACACACGTGTGTATACGTTGTCGTACGTAGCGGAGTCCCTGTGCGTGCACACACACGTGTGTATACGTTGTCGTACGTAGCGGAGTCCCTGTACGTGCACACACACGTGTGTATATGTTGTCGTACGTAGCGGAGTCCCTGTGCGTGCACACACACGTGTGTATACGTTGTCGTATGTAGCGGAGTCCCAGTACGTGCATACACACGTGTGTATACGTTGTCGTACGTAGCGGAGTCCCTGTGCGTGCACACACACGTGTGTATACGTTGTCGTACGTGGCCGGCGCGTTGTGCTCGCTCTGAGCGGAGGCTCTCTGCGATGGCTCTCAACAGCGCCAACGTCTCTTAAGAGAAGGTGCTCGTCCAGGCTGAGCCACTTGAGAATCAGAATCAGAATATTGATACTGGAGAAATCCGATGAGCTATGAAGCTCTTTTTTTCACAGGTGTCCATTCCAGGGGGCACGGGGTCAGAGCGTTACAACAACAATAAACAATACAACAACAACAATAATCAATACAACAACAATAAACAATACAAAAACCACAGCAGGAGTGCAAAGTACAGGAAAGGTAAACAAATCACGTACAAATATAATCAAATAAAACTGAATAATTTTTTAGCATGCCAGGTAGAGCGAAGGTCATGAACGATTATTTATTTATTATTATTGGTTACGCTTTTATTAGGCGCAGCAGCAGACCCAACAGAGGGCTTCAGAGTGCCCAGCAGTAACATTTAAAACAAAAACACAAACAAAAGGAACGCACGGCCGGCATGCCGTGAAACGACTCTTCACTCCCCGTCCCACGCCGCCAGCCTCGCGACATCACGGATCAAATCACGATTCCGTCCCGAAGAAAACCCTCTTCGTTTTTGGTTCCGTCTCTCCTCTCCTTTCCGTTTCATTTGTTACCGTCTTCCGTGTCCCACATCGACTTTGTCGTCTCACCTCGACTGTGTCACTTGTCTTACGGGCTCCTCTACACTGTTTCCCCTTGTCCTGTCTATTAGGGGCACCACGGTGGGCGAGATGTTAACTACCTCGCCTGGTATGCAGGAGGTCGTGGGTTCGATCCGGACCCTGACGACGCCTGTATATTTGGAGCCTGCGTGTCTCTCTCCCCGTGGTCGCGTGGATTTTTCTCCGGATCCACCAGTTTTTCCCTCTACATTTATCAACATGCTTTTAGGGTATTTGGCTGCTTTAACTGTCCACGTGATAAGCCACGAGAGCTATCACGTGTGGCCAGGTCGCTTCTGTAAAAGAGCTCTATAGGTGTTTGGGCCTTACCCGGTAAAACAAAAATATTTTAGTTCATGCCCTGCCTCGTTCTCTTTGTCTCATCTGCCCCGTCTTATTGACCGATCTTGTCTATTCTTTCTCATTTGTCTGACCTCTTCTCTCCTGCGTCATCTGTCCCGTCTCCTCTGTCCTGTCTACAATGTCCCGTCTCATCCCTTCTATCTTACAAGCTCCGTCACGTCCATTGCCGACTTGTCTTCAAATGAACATTTAATGTAGATTTTCAGGCACCGTCAAAACGCCACCCTTACGCTCGCGAGCATTAGAATCAATTCTAATCTACGAATATCTTCATCTGTAGATGCCTGCCATGCACATATACACAGGTCATATAATAAATTAGTCATCCACGAGCAGAGTCGTAATCGTAATAATAATGAATTGTGTTCTCTTATAACTCTCTTCCTGAAGAACACCGCGTTATGGAAAGATCGAATTATAATAAAAAATATAAAATATAAGGAGTGAAGCACAGTCCGCGACAACACGTGAGATCCGTACGCAGGCTGAACAAAGACTCAGGCGCAGTGGGTAGCATCCAGAAGCATCCAGCAGCATCCCACCACCTTGTCGTGTGATGATCCTACGCCGAGGCAGCCGTACAACCGCCGCCTATTCCTGCCCGCGCGTTGCGATGTAGTTCCGTCCACTCGATAGCTTTAAACCCAATTCACATCCGCGTTATAAAAATGTATTCCCAAATATATTGATCGCATTATATCCAATTCGCGTCATGAAAACCGCGCGTTGTAGGAGAACGGACTGCAGCTATAACTGGAAGCACTCGCAAGGGAAGGGTGGCAGTTGTCAATATCGGCGGTGGTGGCAAGGGGTAGAGGCCAGTCAGGCGAGCACCTCCTGTGGAGAATGGAGCGGCCGTTCACTGCTGTTGCTGCTGCTGCTGCTACCGTAGTGGTAGGTGGCCTCGCTGCTCGCTGCTAACGCAGCTGTCTGATTGGTTGCTTTCACAGCTGAGGAGGGCAACGATCTCCAACCCGCTCACGGGCGTGCTGGAGACAGCCCCCTACAGAATTAGCAAGAGGTGAGTGAAGAATCCAACCCAAAAAAACTAAAACGTGAATACTAACGGCTCGAAAAACAAACGACATGTGCAAAATGTTCAACCGTGGCATAATGTTCTAACCCTGCGTTGGAACGATCTTGATGAAAGCAATCGATCAGACGTTCGCTTCGCCAGCGAGTTCTGCTGTCCTCCGCATGTTGACCGATGCTTCTGCTGCTACTTCTGCTGCGTTAAATACGAATCGGGAGATCACGTTTGACGATTGCCCACGTGCGTGGGATGCCGCGCGTGATTTATTCTTTTCTCGCTGATTATTATTTTTTTTTTACAAAAGAGGCGCAGAGCTAGTTTGAATGAGCTTTGCTTGCTTTGCCCTTCTCGCAGCTTTGCCAAATCACAGCCCCCGACTTCTTTCTAAACCCCACCTTGCCACTACCCCCCCCCCCCCCCCACCTCTTTCCACAGAAACGATTGAAAATTTGCGTGCTTTTGCAAAAATCGCCATTTGCATTGAATTACCCCAGCGCCAAGACGCTGGGGTGATTCAAGCGGCCCCCGATTCTAAAATGCAAGTCGTTAACACATCTCCTCTGCGCACTCGGGCGTCACGGCGGCGAGATGTTAACTACCTCGCAAGGTATACAGGAGGTCGTGGGTTCGATCCCATCCCCTGACGCCCGCTGTATTTTTGGAGTTTGCGTGTCCTTCCCGTGGTCGCGTGGATTTTTCTCCAGGTCCACCGGTTATTCCCTCCACATTTAGAATCAACGTGCATTAAAAGTATTTGGCTGCTATACATTTTCTCGCAATAAGCCACTTCGTTGAGCTATCATTTGTGGCCAGGTCACTTCTGAAAAAAGAGCAACATAGCTCAGTGGGCCTTACCTGCTAAAATAAAATATATATATATATTTTTTGTAACATTCCATTCCCGTGAGCCCCAGAAATTCCGTGGTTTTCGAGGAGGTGACGGGAATTCCAGCCGCCCGTGCTACACCGCGAGAGCAGCCTCCGGCCACAATCGCCGCGATCCCGCGAGCCCGCGCAGTGCTGCGCCTGTTAAACATTTTTTTTATATTTATTAGCAGGGGTGGGAATTGGCAGTGCCAGATGCTGTGGAAATGACGCGTCGTAAAACGTCCAAAGGCGCCGGCTGCTACATGGTGAAGACCTTTACGACGATGGAACTTCCTGCACGCCGACTAAGCGGAGAGGGTGGAATTGAGGTCAAACACCCTGGCACACACCCATGGCACACCTGTTGGATTCGAGCGGGGAAGTTGCCGGTCGTAAAACCCACCCCGGTTACCGCACAGCCGACTGCCAAAGCACTGCGTCGACGCTTTTTTCCATTCAAGGGCGTTCTAGAGCGGTGGTACGCGGCAAAAGCGGCTTCAAAATGGGCAGCCCTGCCGCTTAAATCATTGTGGTGCGCTGGAGCGTTGAGCACGGGGGTTCTGGTCAGCCGAGTGCCCTCGGAACACCGCCAAATTTCACCGCACGTGCATGGTAACGCGCTACAACCCCCACCGACTACGGCGGTCAGTCGCCTCATTATCGCTCGTCCATCGGGACTGCCACAGTTGCCGTTTCCACCAATGTCACTCCTTCATTCCCTCCGCCCAGTGTTGAGGATTCGGTCTACCAGACCTGACTGTTTCATATCATCCACACTGCAGGTCACAACAATACACTCATTCACCCACTCACACACTCACTCACCCACTGGATCACCCACTGACACACCCACTCACCGACTCACCCAGCCACTCACACACTCGTTCACTCACTCATTCACTCACCCACTCACCACACTGCACGTCATCTCACTTCTCCGTTTGCTTCTTCCCTCGCACTGGAATTCCCTCCTCCCATCATCATCATCGTCAGTCCCTTTTCCCCAAGCTCTTACAACAATTACCTCGCTGATTTCAAGAAATCGGACTAACTCTTTATCTATTACTCCTTCAATATCCAATGGTGCTGTTTGCTGCTGACCGCTTGGCTGTTTTGCTTCTTTGAGCCCCATGCGCTGGGCAATGGTGATTTCCGCTACCCAATAATAACGGGGGGCTGGTGTGACCCCCGTGACCCCCGTGACCCGCGTGACCCCCGTGACCCGCGTGACCCCCGTGACCTGCGTGACCCCCGTGACCCGCGTGACCCCCGTGACCTCCGTGACCCCATGCAGCGCGTGGCTCGGCGAAGAAGAGGACCCCCTCATTGCGCGGCTCAACCAGAGGATCGAGGACGTCACGGGCCTCAACATGCGCACCGCCGAGGACTTACAGGTAGCGGCCGCGGGGCGGCTCCGCGGCCTGGTGACGGCCTCGTTCAGAGGGAGGGGGGAATGATTGACATGAGTGTCGAGTTGATTTTGTTTAACCCAGGTGGTAACTCGAGAGAGACCAGGACGAGCCGTCGCGCGCCAAAGTGAGCCAGGGTCACAAAAGTGACGGAAGGCAAACGGCGTAACGTGAAGCACGTCAAAGTCGACGCAGCAGCAGCAGCGATGGCGGCGGCGACGACGAGCCAGATCGAAACCTGAGCCTAAAACAACCCGCGTCGCAGGAGAAATGGAAAATGCTGCGTCAACTTGGACCGTTATTATATTAAGTACAATTCCCGCGACGACAGTTGGGCTTGGACAAATTACTTTAAATAATTGCTCACAAATAATTGTTGCCGAAACGTGAATATTGATGTAGGGTGACTTGCTGCCCTCGTGCGTAAACGGACGATGACAACGTGTATCAAATACGGGACGGTGCCGCCTACCGCCGCGACTGCAGCGTGCGACGTGTCACAGCTGAGGGTCATCGCGCTTACCCAGGACAGCCTCGCAGAGTCTCAGGACGTTTGGCCAGTTCCTTTCTGTCTAGCGACCATTGACAAGGCCTCGGGGTAGATCTCTGCGATGGGTTCATCGGAGCCGCGTCGCACGACGAGGGTTTGGTTGCTTGGCAACGGCGAGTTGAAGGAGGAGGGACGAGCGCGGCGTGACCGCGTGTCTGCACGTGCGTGCGTGTGCACATGGGCCTCCCTTTTGTCAGTCCTCATGCGAGCTATTTGGCTGCACTTTACCACGCCGGTCAGCGGGGATTGGGTGAAGTGAGGGAGGGGGGGCACGAACCGCTTCGGACATCGCTCGCCACCGGTGTTCGCCGTGGTCGGAAATCGATCTCGCGTAGCCGAATTTCGAGCGCTGCTCCTGCGCCGCTCCGCCGTACAGACTCGGTATCTTTATCCCGGAGAGATCAGTTGGATAATTACCGTTTAGTATTTTTTAAATCTGCACGCGCACACACGAACACGTGTCTGTGCACGCGCACGCACGCGCACGCAGCCTGTACAAATGTGTGCCGGGTTCTTGGCGCGGCTGCCCGTGGCGTCGAGCGCGCAGGGACCCCGATGGCGAGAGCTTTGTCCGTGTCGTCTCCTGACAGGTGGCAAATTACGGCATGGGCGGCCAGTACGAACCGCACTTTGATTTCGCCAGGGTAAGTGACGTCCGGTTCGGCCCATCGTCCGTTACATCCGTTTGTCCGCCCGCCCCCGTGCGTGTGTCTGTCCGTCCGTCCGCCTGTCTGTCTGCGCGTGCGTCCGCGCGTGCGTGCGCGTGTCTGTCTGCGTGTGTTTGTCTCGTCTGTCTGCAGGTGGCTAACTATGGGTTGGGGGGACAGTATGAACCCCACTTTGATTTTGTGACGGTGAGTATACGGGAGGGGGGGGGTAGGGACCCCTCGGGACCCCGCTTCAAGTGGCCTATTCAGCATTCAACGACGGCGTTCGTTAATGCTCATTAATCCGTCCTCGCAACGTGGGGGGGGGGGGGGCGCGTGGCCTCGTTCGCCGCGCTGCAGCGATTTGACGTCGCGACGCGTCGACGGGCCGACGCGTCCGTGTCCGCGGAGGAGGAAAGACGGCATTAATGCGCCAGCGATAGAGCCACTTCGCCGATGCCGCCCGTCGTTAAAGCGGCCGTTTGCTTTGCGGGTAGGGCGTGACATTCGTTTTCGGGTCCGGAATGAATGTCCCCCTTTGCTGCCAGCTGGCAAAGCCGACTTGCTTTGATGAGAGAGGGTTCTGTCGGCATGCTAACTCTGCATCCGAGCCGAGTTGCCTGGGACAGCCATCCGAACGACGGGCAGAGAGGGGGATTGATGTCCTCCCGACGATGCCACAATCTACGCTTTCACGTGTTCCCACGGCCCCCACTGACGGAGAGCCATTGGAGATATAATTTCAAATCTAGATTGATATAATTTCCGTCGATTATGTATATTTAACATTTGCCGGACGTGAATTTGGGCTGGGGTGTCGATAAAAAACCGTAAGCAAAATGGATTTTGATGTCTTTAAAGGGGCAAACTGCACGCTCTGGCAGTTGTAGACGATGCCAGGTGAACGCAGCTGGGGGTTAAACCGTGAAGCCTGCGGAGGGTGGCCCGGCAGTTAGCCGCTCGCTACACACACACGCTGCTCCACACACACACGCTGCTCCACACACACACACGCTGCTTCACTAACATGCCGCTCCACACACACACGCTGCTCTACACACACGCTACTCCACACACACACGCTGCTCTACACACAAACGCTGCTCCACACACACACACGCTGCTTCACTAACACGCTGCTTCACACACACACACACGCCGCTCAATGCATGCACACACACGCTACTCAACACACACACACCACTCCACACACACATACACGCCGTTCCATGCACGCGCTGCTTCACACACACACGCCACTCCACACACATTGCCACTCCACACACACACACGCTGCTACACACACACACGCACCGCTCCACACACACACACTGCTTCACACACACGCTGCTCCACACACATTGCCACTCCACACACATGCCGCTCCATGCATGCACACTCTACTCCACGAACGCACACACACGCCGCTTGTAAAGCTTTACGGTCGCAATGTTTTGGCTTTACTTACGCTGAGCAGCAATTTCTTTCCGCTTTTTAAACAAACTTGTTATTCGAAACCCGTTTTCTTGTAATGTGGCAGTGAGAATTATTTTTGACTTTGTTCAATTTGAGTTCACGAGCATAATAATCAAATTGCAACGACTTCACCTACTTGTACTTCTGACAGTGCAGGCATGTGAAGTAGACAAAAAAACAGGAATTAAAAGTAAAGAAGCGGGGAGGTGCCCGCTGGTTTGTGTTCACTAACCCCCGTGTCGTGTTTCTCACAGAAAGAGGAGCCAGACGCGTTCGAACGCCTGGGCACAGGAAACCGCATCGCGACGTGGCTCTTCTACGTAAGATATTCCGTTTCTCGGTGTGTTCGCGTCTTATTTTACATCACGTTTGGCTTTCTGTTTAAAGTGATGAATCCTAAGTTCGCCAGACCGAAACTTAGTTGATCGAATATTCTCAGGTCATCCTCGCAGCAGCCATCGAACAAAGAGGCTCACCGCGTCGAGCGCTTTCAGATGCGCTTCTGCGGCCGTCTGGAATGCTCTTCCTTCCGATATTAGGAAGCCATTGGAGCTACGCACTTTATTAACTCCTCTAGATTTAAAACTAATTTCTGTGGAACTGCTTTTTGTGTTTAGTTTGTTGTCCTTTCCCTCGCATCTCCGATTAGCATGGCTGGCTATGTACGGTGCGAAAGAAGTTCATACATACTCACGCCCGCGAATCTCCCACCGACGTCACCTCTTCTCCTCCTCCCGCATACCCCCCCCCCCACCATCCTGCCCCCCCTCCTTTCCCACCACCCTACTACAGATGAGCGACGTGCCGTCAGGTGGAGCGACCGTCTTCCCTGAAGTGGGTGCCTCGGTTATGCCCAAGAAGGTAAACGTGGCTCTGTTGTACAGCTCGTGATCGTTCCTCCCATTAGCACGGTTGACTATGTACGGTGCAAAAGGAGTTCGACACACACACATACATGATGTGTCATTCGTTCGTTCCAAGCCGCTTAGATTGGGACAGAAATCACAATGATCGAAATCTTTATTTATCTTGGAGAAATCCGATGAGCTGTGAAGCTCTTTTTCACAGATGTCCAATAGGGGGGCGGGTCAGAAAGTTACAACAAATGATACAAAAACGAGTGGACAGTTACCTTCAGTTGTTTGCTCGGCCAATATGGATAACAAGTATGGACAATGGGAAATGAAACTAACGAACAAATGAAAATGTCAGAAGCGATGCATGCTGGGAATTAACAATGGCGCATGCCTACATGTGTAGGGTAACTGAAAGGCTCCCTCTCTTGGCTGACCGGAGTGGCTGCATGGATGTGTTCCTTGTGACTAAACTCAAACTAAACTATTGTTTTACTTAAAGCTTTCGTGACTGCAGGAATTCATATCCTTTGGGTCTTTCGGTAAAGTCACGTAGATAGTTTCAAAGAAAATAACAAAAAACTACGACGTTTCGATCGCAACACAAGCGGTCGCAACACAAGCGATCGACGTCGTCGTTTTTTGTTATTTTCTTTGAACCTATCTACGTGACTTTGCCGAAAGACCCAAAGAATATAAACTTTTTATTTTACCAGGTAAGGCCCACTGAGCTATACAGCTCTTTTTCAGAAGCGACCTGGCCACAAATGATAGCTCAATGAAGTGGCCGATCACGTGGAAATTTATAGCAGCCAAAATACCCCCGAATGCATATTTCTAAATGTGGAGGGAAAAACCGGAGGACCCAGAGAAAAATCCACGCAACCCGGGGAGAGAGACACCGCAAACTCCAAATATACAGCAGCAGGCGTCAGGGTCGAGATCGAACCCACAACCTCCTGTATACCAGGCGAGGTAGTTAACATCCCGCCACCGTGGAGCCCTTATCAGGGGGGCCCCTGGCATCGGATATTCACGCCCTCCCACCCCCTTGTCACTCCTGTCAATAGCACCGCTCACCTCGCACTGACCGTGCCCCGATTAGGGGGCCCTAAACTGTTTCGAGCCCATGACCCCATCGCCCGAGGTGCAACCTTATCAGCATCTTGGGAGCTAAGCAGGTCTGAGCCTGGGCCATCACTCGGATTGGCAACCGCCATGCGGGGGCTACGTGGTGTGCTTACAGATGGCAGCGCAGCAATACCCGCTGTGGTAATCCGCTCCATCTGTGCTCTCCGCCTTTATCAACGTGCACTGAGCAGCATGGCAAAGTATGGCCAAGTAACCCTCGCGTGGAGAGGTCATCGTCGAGTGGATGGGCTGTGCTCTGATGTAGCAAGAATTCTACGGATGAGATGGAGAAAGCCGAATTTTTTGACAGCTTGCGTCGTTCAGACTTTGCCGTGGCCCCTTAAAAATAACGCGACGCCGGGCTAAAGCGATCATACCTCCACGCTCTGCTTCCCCCCAGGGCACCGCCGTGTTCTGGTACAACCTGTTCGCGAGCGGAGAGGGCGACTACAGCACGCGGCACGCCGCCTGCCCCGTGCTCGTGGGCAACAAGTGGGGTGAGTCGCTCGCTCTTGCTCACCCTCGCTCATCCTCGCTCATCCAACGCTCGCACGCGACGCAGTCCCCGTGACTCGCTCGAACAGTGGCGATTTATGGCTCCGGGTTGACGAGGCAACAGTCCGCCTCGGATTTTCCATTCGCTTGTGACAATGTTTTGTCTTGGATTCGCCGAGATGCAGAGAGACCCATAGTTGCACGTGGTGACCATAGACTCGCACGCAGAGGCCCGTAGAGCCACACACACACACTTGCAGATTGATGTACAGATCCATAAGTCTCGCACAGAAACCCCATACACTTACGTACGTATGTTGAACTTCTTTTGCACCCTACATAGCCAACCGTGCTAATTGGAGTCCACCCTGTATAAGTCCACACAAATGCATAGAGACCCAGAGACTGGAATGCGCTAGCAGCGGTTTTCGTTGTGAGCGCTTTCTCCGCCAGCCAGACGGGCGCGGGCAACCCCCAGACGGGCGCAGGCAACCCCCAGACGGGCGCGGGCAACCCCCAGACGGGCGCGGGCAGCCCCTACAGCCCCTACAGCACCTACAGCACCTACAGCCCCGACAGCCTCTACAGCCCCTACAGCCCCTACAGCCTCTACAGCCCCTACAGCCCCTACAGCCCCGACAGCCTCTACAGCCCCTACAGCCCCTACAGCCCCTACAGCCCCTACAGCCTCTACAGCCCCTACAGCCCCGACAGCCTCTACAGCCCCTACAGCCCCTACAGCACCTACAGCCCCTACAGCCCCGACAGCCTCTACAGCCCCTACAGCCCCTACAGCCTCTACAGCCCCTACAGCCCCTACAGCCCCGACAGCCTCTACAGCCCCTACAGCCCCTACAGCCCCTACAGCCCCTACAGCCCCGACAGCCCCGACAGCCTCTACAGCCCCTACAGCCCCGACAGCCTCTACAGCCCCTACAGCACCTACAGCCCCTACAGCCCCTACAGCCCCGACAGCCCCGACAGCCCCGACAGCCTCTACAGCCCCTACAGCCCCTACAGCCCCTACAGCACCTACAGCCCCTACAGCCCCGACAGCCCCGACAGCCCCTACAGCCCCTACAGCCCCTACAGCCCCGACAGCACCTACAGCCCCTACAGCCCCTACAGCCCCTACAGCCTCTACAGCCCCTACAGCCCCTACAGCACCTACAGCCTCTCGGGAGAGCTGCCCAGCACCGGTGCAGCAGCCGCGGTCACCGTAACCCCCCCCCACACGCTGCCTTTGCGCTCCACGGGTCAGTTAGTCCACCCTGCATGCGCTATCGCCCGAGACTGGGAAACCTGAGACGCACTTCGATGCCGCCTCCAACCTCTGGCCAAGAACCGCCAACCGCTCTCGACGAAGAGATTCTCTTGCAGGCAGCGCCAGCTGCTGCTGCTGCTGCTAACACTGAAACACGTGAACGTCACTGAACATTTTTGGTTATCACCTCCGATTAGCACGGTTGCTACGTACGGTGCGAAAGAAGTTCAACATACATACATACACGTTCCACAGCTGTTTCGCTGCCACTTCGATTTCGGTGGGGCTGTCGCCTGCCGCAGAGATATGCAGCCAGTCCATTTGCGACATTTGGCCGAACCCGACACCGCCGCTCGGGTAGAGTTTGTGTTGCGGTGCGGTGAACAACAGAACCCTTCAACTGCACACAGCCCTGAGCTGTACATACATACCGAGGCCTCTTGCACGGTCAGTGACAACCAAAATGGTCAGTGACAAACCACCTTTGGTCAGAGTTAAATCTACAAATAGTGAGTTAAATCTAACGGTAACTGTATATATCCACACCCAACTGTGTATCCGTGGCTATGTATGCTCTGACACACTATACCTTATACAGGCAGACCCCACTATTACGACACAATACGTTCCTGGATACTCCGTCGTAAATTGGACCATATTTACCCATAGACCATAGAAACAGTAGAAACATCACTTACCAGATATGTTTTCCTTTTATCAGCCGTATTTAACATGGTTTAATTGGTAAAATGCCACAAAAACACTCGGGAATAACAAAAGCTCCACGGCAAGTCACATCGGAAAACCAGACTTACTCTGTTCAAATGTGTTCGGAGTTCTAAAATCAAGTTTCTTCATCATAAATCAATCTACGGTGGCATTATATAAACGTCGTGAATGTGGAACCGTCATAAATCAGACCGTCGTAAACCACAGACCGCCTGTGCTAACATAAGCCCCGACACGTAACGAATGTTTGGCCTTACACGGTTTTATACCTGGCTCCTGTGGTGTCACTGTTGTACCATCCGTGGCACGTTTCACCACGGTGCAGTGTTCAGCGACACACGACCATTGTAGCTACCGAAGCGCGATGGCCATTTGTGAAATCATAGTTTTTAAATGTTAACTCGACTATCTCACGCTTTACGCGTGTGTGATTTTATATCTGTGTATGTGCCTGCTCGTCCCAACAGTGTCCAACAAGTGGATTCACGAGAGAGGCCAGGAGTTCCGGAGAAAGTGCGGCATGACAGAGACGGCGTGACGAGCTTGAAGGCTTCTTCTTCTCCCCGCCTCTTCCGCTGCTGCTGTCCCTCTTGCTTCGCTTCCTTCACGGCCTTCTTTCACCCGCCGGTCCTTTTACCCGTCGCCGCGACGAGCCGGCAACGCACCCGAGAGGCCTCTGCCACGAGCGGGAGCCGCCCAGCGTCCCGAACCCCCCCACCCCCCACGTCCCCGCCGCTGCGTCCACCCGCCAGAGAGAGGGCAACCGGTGGTCCACGGACGCACGAGGGGCCGCCTTTGAATTAAGATCGTAACTCATGCCCAGACGAAAATAACGGTGAGGAGCTCGACGGGTTAAGTCAGGGGAGCGTGCGGGGCACCGTGGGGCTTGCCTGTCCCAGGCCTCGCTGCTCTTTAAGTTTCTCGCGTCCGGCCACGCCCAAGCGCGACGAAAAGTCGCACAAGCCGAGCGATGTTCAAAGCGCGTGGCTCCATGGACTCGCTGTCCATCTGTCTAGCCCCCCCGCCTCTCGATCACCGCATACTCCAAACACCCCTCCGACCGCTTTTTAATTGGTTGTTGATTTTGACAACTTTTGCCGACGCCAAAGTTAACTCTTGACAACCCTGGCAAGGGTTTGAATCATTGATTTTCTCTGTTTAGAGAACAAAGCAATGAACAAAGTGATTGTATTGAACGTGTGGGTTACAGGCTGCATGGCTTCATTAAATCAAGGTGATGTTAATGCATCACAAATACATCACAGATGAAAGTATTAATGCTCTCCCTAACCCAAGTGCACGTTTATATAGTTTTTTTTACATTAGCATGACAGTCTTGTTTTTTATTATGCTACAAAGTGATGTCTTTGTCAACAATTGTATTTCTAAATTCTGTGACCTCTGGCTGGGCTGGCATTTATTTTCCAAAATCGCTTGCTGGAGCTCGGCTGTACCAAAGCTGGGGCACTCGACGCTTGCCAGTTTATTTCTCTAATCTTTTGTGTTCGTGCAAATGCCTGGTGCTACTAACAGGATTATAAATATGCATTTGCCTCGTTTGTGGGGGTTTTTTTCCCGGTACAATTTTTGATTTCACAGGAGCCACTTTCGACGTCCGTTTGGAATAAGTTTTGTGTTTAAACGCAAAGACGCGAGTGTTCCTCGTCGGCAAACGTTTTACAAAGGGAATTGATAGGAAACACGCGATGGTTACACGATTTAGTGATAGGGATGAAAATAGCATGCTGGAAAATCAGCCATGACCTTTTGTGCCTTACTGTGGTGGTTTTGGCATGACCCAGCTCCTCCTTGACTTGCAAACAATCATGCCCGACTTCAAAGTAACTCGAGCGTACACAGCTAAAGCTATTGAATAAATTACACTCCTCAACTGAGCAATTCTACACAAGAATAGAATTGAATGAATTTGAAACCGCATGTGAAATTTTTTATACGACCAGCAGTGAGAGAAACTCAAGTTGTGATTGGGTCTGTGCTTTAAAATGCGCAAAACGGCTCGTCGTGATGAATCTGCCGCCCTACCGCTTGCCGTTTCTGTCTCGCGGGAAGCCAACCAATGAAGTTACTTGTGGCGGCGATTTTTAACAGCGCTGCCAGCACCAAATACTGAATAAGTGTTCGAAAACCTTAAGTCACACGGAGCAGTGGGGGAGCGGCGTGCATTTTGGTATTGGAGCAAAACAGCGTTTGGCCAACCAAACGATAACCAGCTCGACATGGTGGTGCGATATTAACTCTCTCGCCTAGTGTACAGGAGGCCATGGGTTCGATCCCGGCCCTGACGCCTGCTGTATATTTGGAGTTTGCGGTGTCTCTCTCCCCATGGTCGCGTGGATTTTTATCCAGGTCCTCTGCTTCCCCCCAGATTTAGAAACGTGCGTTTAGAATATTTGGCTGCTATAAATTTCCACATTATAAGCCACTTCGTTGAGCTATCATTTGCGATGAGGTCACTTCTGAAAAAGAGCTACATAGCTCAGTGGGCCTTACCTGGTTAAATAAATGATAGAACCCCTCCCACTTACCCTCAATCCTAACCCTACCTCTCTCACCTCCACCTCTTGACACTTTGGTAGGGCTCTCATTTGTTTATACTTGTCAGTTTCGGGTGCTCAGAGCGCCGCTCGCCAAAGCCACCCGTCGTAGAGTGTGGGCCCCACGCGGTGAATATGGTGTGTGGGCATTTGCTGGTAGCGCGCGCTAAGATTCCACGCGGCCGGCCGGCCCTGTTCTGTGCGTCGGGCTTGTATGTGGGGGGGGGGGGTCGCTGTTCCGTAGCCCGGACGGACTTCGTGTGTTTTCATGTTTGATTTGTGGTCAATAAAGACAGCCCCTTGCGTTTTGGTAAAACGTTTATTTTCTCCGCGTTCTTATTACTCGCTTATTAACAAACAATAAACCCGAAGTGCATAAGCGTACGAAAGTGAAACCCCTCCGTGGGAAAGTGAAAATAAACAGAAGACTGGAGAATGTTATTTGTTTATCAAGACCTACAAAGCCAACTGCAATATGCATTAACACAAGCACTGCAGCCAACGTGGAGTCCGGGAAGTAGACGGTCCACTGGATGTATGTTGAACTTCTTTCGCACAGTACGTAGCTAACCGTGCTCATCGGAGGTGCGGGGAAGGACAAACGAAACACAAAAATCAGTTCTAAAGAAATTAGTTTTCAATCTAGTTTTAAAAGTGGCTTACTAATATCGTAAGAGCACTCCAGACGGCTGCAGAACTGCATCCGAAAGCAGCTCTTTGTTGGATGGCTCGCCAAAAGGCATTGCGAGCATGGCCAGAGTTCACGTGCTGCTTTATGCTCCTTGAGATCAGCAAGGCATCGATGGATAATTATCAGTCCGCTTTAGATCTTCACTTTAGTTTTAATTTTGTGGACCACTGTAACACAAGTTCGGGACATTGCCCAAGACTGAAGACTGCGATGTGACTGACTGACCATGACAATAAAAAAACTTTTTATTTAACAAAACCACAAAATATTCCTTAATTATCACTAGTGCTGTTGCTAAAACTTATTACCGAAACATTGCTGCTGAAGCTGTACAAATTCAGATTAGGGATGAGGCATGGGGGGGGGCATGACAGGGGCAGCCACCCCCATTGAAATCCCCTCGTGTAAACGGACTTCATAACAGCAACGTGGACAGCTGTGTGACCACATACGGAGCTGTACGAACGGGTCAAGCGAGATGAGTGGATCCAGGGTAAGGGGACTTCGGGGTGGTAGAGGGGAGCATGCGGAGGGTATGCAATGTCCACCGCCTGGTGTGGGGGGGAGGGAGGGGGGGTTCGCTAAGCGAACGCCCCCTTCCTATCCCCCCGCAAGTCTCGACTGTAGCAGTTGACCTGAGGCAGCCGTGAGGCCTGTGGGGCCGAGTTCTTGGCCTCCTCCCACGAGGTTCTCTAGCTCGGAGAGCCCGGTTGGCGGGGTCAGCCAAGGGGAAGCGAGTGACATGGCCAAAGTGCCATAGGTTGGCATTGCGTAATCACGCAAGTAACAAGCCCCATCTTAGTTCCCTGCAGCAGCCTGCGGTTAGACACAGTCATCCCAATAAGTACCCCGAGATTGCGTGAAGAGACTTGGTAACAATCGTGGCACCAGTGATCCCCCTTAGCATCCGCATACCAGCTCCGCAGTGAGTAGGGGAAGCATCGGAGCCATGAAAACGCGGAACTTTGTCCCGCCGCTAAGATAATAACAACACCAAGCACTGGGAAAGCGAATCCGCTACCCAGTGGGCCAGTGTCGGTCATCTCAAGACGTCTCATTCTGAACCTGCGTTGCTCTGGTTAACCCTTTCCCGTTGCGAGACGTTCCCAAGTTGCAGGGTGGGGGTCCCGTTCTCCCTCAAATCTCGGAACGCGCAAGCGGCTTGCCGTTAATTTTAGAGATGCGTAGCATCGTGTTTCAAAGATATTGTACTCACCGGAGAGAACTGGAGCAATACGACCGCACACTCTACAATACCTGGCACCAAACTGTGCCGCACGCCCTCCCGCATGGCCTTGTGGAAGCCTCGGTATCAAAAAAGTTTTTTTTTTTCAATTACCGTTCTGATGATATGCATGTACAGGCAGTCCCCGGATTACGGAAAGGTTAGGTTCCTGAGAAATATCCATAACCCGATTTTTCCGTATGTCGGAAAACTGAACAATTTTCCCCCAAAATCAAGAAAAAATCCCCAAGCCGGAAATAGTTATGCCTCTCCTACCATTTTCTCTCAGCGCTGTATCACATTGTCATCCATTTTCTATCGCTACATGTATCGCTGTACATACGCTCTGAACTTCCTATGCTTTCATTTCATCGATTATCTACCCTAAGACTACCCATTAAACTAATGGAACATATCCTGTACAGAATTGTTGATTTTAATATTAACAGAAAGCAGTCGCTTCCGGATGTTTACAGTGCATTCAGCTAGGCCTAGACTTCACATACACACACATAAAGACAAAGTTGGAGTAGGCTCGTCTACACACACACACGCACACACACATATACACATAAACACACGGATACACATACACAGTACATACTGTACAGAAAACAAACAATTACGTAAAGCTACAAAAGGAAAATAATTACGTGATGCTAAAAATCCATTTACCTTAATCCTCTTGAAGCTCGGGCTCGGTGAAGGTGGCGTTTTGGTGCAGCACGGTGAGGTCCATCCGCAAACTCACCGACTTGCACTATTTGAACTCGTGTAATTAACGCAAACATTTCCACCATTTTTTTTATTTACATGATTTATGGGAGCATTTCCGTAAAGTCGGATTTCCCTAAGTCAGGTCTTTCGTAACCCGGGGAGACTTAAAAAACGAATGACGTACACGCACGTACATCATCGGAACGGTAAAAAAGGGGTTAAGCGAACCCATCCGAGGTCTCGACCGCCGTACCTTTGGCAAGCTTACCCGACGAGAAACAAGCCAGGGGTGGGGGGGGGGGGGGTGTGTCAGGCGTTGCCGAGCGCGATGCGCAGCTGCTGCAGGAAGAGCGGCAGCCGCTTGGGGTCCTGGGGCCAGCGGAGGACGCAGTGGCTCGGGAACATGGCGGCGCGCAGGCCCAGCTTGTGGAACAGCTCAAACTCGGGGAAGTCCTCCAGCAGCGCCAGCACGACGTCGTCGCGGTTCTGCTCGATGGCGCGTTTCCGCGCCTGCGCGACCGCGAACCTGTCGGTGGCAGCGCGGGACGCACCACCGGCTGTCGGCCTGATCCGTGCGAGTGCCGCCAAGTTGTAATTTCTTTATCAATCGATTCACATATCTGGGATTAAGTCGTCATCGTATCAAATGAAGTGCTATTCCATCTTGGAATTTGGTCTTCGGAATAGATTATCCACTGCCATAGGGATGTGGAATTTCTATCAGTGAGTCAGGGAGGACAGCCAAATAAATGTGGGTGGTACTGATAAAAAAAAAAAACTCATCAATTTATATTCCAGCAGCTGATAAGCATGAAATGAAAATTTGTATTCAGTTTCCTACACTCAGATTTAGGTTCTGGCAGAATCATGATGCTGGTCGTAAACACCAGCGGAACGTCGCAATCAATGGTAGATGTTGCGGGTTTGCTCTCCAACACACAACCGGTGTGCAGAAGTCGTAACTCATAGGCACGTTCTGCTCACGTGACAAACCTTACTGATTGGCAGTGTCGAGTGGAGGTGGGTTTACGACACATTTATGCGATCTAACCCGAAAAACGTTATCATGAATATTATTTATTTACCCCTGCCAAAGGAATAAGGGATTTCCTCCACTGGCTCCATTAAGCAGAGAAACTCATTTGAATCTGACCCACGAGTGCTGAACAAGCAGTGTAAAGTCCGCTGTGGTTTTGGCGGTGAGATGTTAACTCCCTCGCCTGGTATACAAGGAGGTTGTGGGTTTGAGCCTGACCCTGACGCCTGTGTATTTGGAGTTTGCATGTTCTCCCCGTGGTCGCGTCGATTTTTCTCTCGGTATTCTGGTTTTTCCCTCCAAATTTAGTAACGTGCGTTTAGAGTATTTGGCTGCCATAAATTTCCACGTGATAAGCGACTTCGTTGGGATATCATTTGTTGCCGGGTCACTTCTGAAAAAGAGTTGTAGAGCTCAGTGGGCCTTAGCTGGGAAAATAAAAAAAGTTATATTTAGTTCAGATTCAAAAGTATAGTTATAGCCAAAAGGCCTTGGATGAACCTAACATAGGGCTGGGGAACCTTCAACCCGCAGCCCAGAATTTAATATTTGTCACTGTGAGCATCTTGGCTACACAAATGAAGAACTGGAACGGGATATGTCTAACCTCTTAAAACACCTTATTCTGTCACTGCAGTGGACAGCATTGACCCGACGCCTGTGTTAACAAGTGGGGAGCGGTAGTGTAGCGTTTAGTGCGCTGCACTACAAACCTGGCGAACCGAATTCTATTCCCGCTCGCATTCAACAACCAGTTGGCAATTATCCGAACTGTTCCTGGGCCTCCCCTAGGTCTACTCTGCCTCAAATGAGTACCTGGTGCCATGTGTAAACATCGGAACTAGGGAGACAAAAGCGGCCGGGCGTAGTGTTGGCCAGCCTTCATAGGTGCTCGCTAACAGCACTTTCCCCAACAGTCTGTGAGGCTATACGGGGGTGGGAGGGGGGATCTTCGTCTCTCTTGCCGCCTGAGGTCCTATTGAAAGTCTTTATTCGGCCCTCAGTAAGGAGGAGGCTTTGAAGCGGCTCTCCCCCCCTGTCCGGGAGCGGCGGCGGCGGCGCGCGGACTCACTTGCGGCAGTAGGTGTCGCGGAAGAGCGCCCTCGTGACGACGACCAGCACCCGCCGGCTCTGCTGCATGCTGCTGCTGTACGCTTCGGCGCGCACCTCTCCGCCCGGAAGGTCGCGCTCCTCCAGCCAAAGCTTAATCCCGTTTTCTTCCAGCGGCTCCAGGTATCTGCTCGTCCAGTGCTCGTCCTCGCACGAGCAGATGACGAACGCGTCGTAGCTGCGCCGCCACCGCCATCGCAAAAAAACGATCAAGGACGTCGTTAGGGGGTGGCTAATGCGGGCGCGCGCGACCGATCATCGTGCTTGCAGGCGGCGGTGCGCGCCTGGGAATCCAGCGCTGTGCGGACAAGCGAGTTTGGGGGCGGAGCTCACTTTGATTTTGTGCCACAAAACTGCCGTGAGCCCATCCGCGCGGATTTGAGTGTGTTATTGCCACCAGTGCGTGGGTTTTCTTTGTGTACTCTGATACCCTCCCACATCCAAAACTTTTAAATGGATTTAAACATACCAAAGAGCTGTGGGTGTTAGCCATAATCAGAATCTTTATTTATCCTGGAGAAATCCGATGAGCTATGAAGCTCTAGTAGACAGCAGTGTTGGACTGCTACCTATAGATGTTAGGGTGCTCGCTGCAGAGCGTATTTCCATCGACCGTTGGATTGATGTGACAATCAATGGTCTAAAAAGTAAAATAGCCCTACCTTACCCAATATATAAAATACATGTGCGTCTGCAGCTTCGAGCCACTCAGCAGTTTGCAGTACGGATAACCTAAGCCGAGACCAACCACTTGTCTGTGACGCAGAGCGGTCCTGGCTGAGCGGGCGCTCAAGGTCGCACAAAGCAACAACCGACGTCACTGAAAACGGCCTCGACCAACGCCGCCCAGATCTAGCAGACACCACCGCACCTGTACTGCGCCCGTCTTGCGGCGCCCACATCCTGGCCGTCCTCTTCCCCGTCCCCGTCGTTGACGGACGGCAGCGACTCGTAGCCAAGCACGCGGTTCCCTAGCACCGAGGCGAAGTACTGCAAGCGCCAGCCCTGAAAGTGGACGAACAGCGCGACGACGACGACGGAGAGCAGCACCGACTGGCTGACCACGTACATGACGAAGAACGGCGCGTGGTCCTTGCACGCCAAGGTGTCGAACGCCAGCACGGACGTGTTGAAGTAGCTGGGCGGCGTCCGGCAGACGTACTCCGTGGCGGCGCCCGGCACGTGGACGTGCGCGCGCCCCGGGGATCCGGTGGCGTTGCGCAGCCAGTTGGCGAACCAGCCGAGGCTGTCGCACGTGCAGTCGAACGGGTTCCGCGTGCCCAACCACAGGTCGTCAAGGTGCTCGAACACCTCCCCGAACACCTCCTCCGGCACGCCGGTGATGAGGTTCCTGCGCAGGTCGAGCGAGGCGAGGCTCGTCAGCGGGTTGAAGACCCCTGGCGGGAACTTGTCCATGTTGTTGGAGTTCATGTTGAGCAGGCGAAGGTTGGAGAGGCCGGCGAAGGCTGCCGCAGGAACCTCGTCGAAGCCGTTGAACAGCAGCTCCAGCGAGCGCAGCTGCCGCAGCCCGTCGAGGTAGAGCACCGGCGGGTTGTTGTGCTTCCAAAGGCGGGCCAGGTTGTTGTGCCCAAGCTTGAGCGTCTGCAGCGCGGCGAGCCCGCGGAACGTGTCTGCGAGCACCTTGCCCATGTTGTTGTTGCTCAGGTCGAGGTAGGTGAGGTTGACGAGGCCGTAGAATGGCGACCGGTCCGTGTCGAGGCTGGTGAGACGCGTGCGCGACAGCCACAGACGCCGCAGAGAGGGCGTGTTCGCGAACGAACCCGACGTGAGCATCACGTACGTGTTGTACGACATGTAGATGTCCAGCACGGCGCTCAGCCCGGCGAATTCGTCGCCCATTAACCTCTGGTTGAGCTTGTTCAGCCCGAGGTCGAGCCTCTGCAGGTGCGGCGTGGACTGAAAGGCGCCTTTGGAAATTTTCGTAATCCCCGAGCGGGACAGATTCAGGTAGAGTAGGGGCGACTGGGACAGGGAAGACAGGGTATCTTTCCCGATTGCGCCGAGACTCCGCGAACTGTTGGCCATGTGCAGGTACTTGAGTGCGCTCAGGCCTCTGAACGTGTTGCCCGAGAGTCTGAGCAGGTTGTTGCTCTCCAAGATGAGCTCCTCGAGGTGTTGCAGCCCTGTGAAGGCGTCGTCGTCGATGTCGGTGAGGCCGTTGTCGGACAGGTCGAGCCTCGCGAGGAAAGGACACAAGGCGAGGTACTGGAACGGCTGCGACTTCACCGATCGCAGCTGCACGTTCCTCAGCGACAGCGCTTTGAGGGGCGCCCCCTTGAGCTGCCGGCACAGCGAGGTCAGCTTCGTGACGGGTGAGCCCAGCGCCGTCGAGTCCAGCACCAGCAGGTCAAAGAGAACGTCTTTGAAACAGCCATCTGCGAACTGGCAAAGACAAAGATCCCCCCCGTGTAGCCTTAACAGGGCTATTTGGGGCAAGTGCTGTTGGCGAGCACCTATGAAGGCTGGCACGGTACACGAGGGGGTGGGTGGCCAGCACCACACCCGGTCGCCTTTGTCTCCCTAGTGGGGATGTTTACTACACACCACACCAGGTACTCAATTGAGGCTGAATCGACGAATGGGAGGCCCATTGCCACTCTTATTGGTCGCAAGCAGGAATCGAACTCGGCTGACCGAGTTCATAGCGCAGTCCACTCACTATTGCGCCACCGTTCCCCATAAAACTGAGCACACATACAGACACACGATCAATGCTCATTAACAATCAGCCAACTCAGTTTGCTCATGATCAAATCACCTGGGATGCACTCAATCTAGCAATATCTCAAAATGAAAGCAGTACTGAGCCTGGATAAAGCTTGGATGCGTAGCGACCATTCATAAAACAGGTGTTAAAGGATGGAAAACTAAACTGTGGGCACCAAACCTGCACTGACCAGGGTGGTGAGGTCAAATAACCCCTCACGGTATGGCAAGGCCCTTCTTCTAGCAGTGGATTGACAAAGATGGCTGTACATGTGCATACTCATTCTGAGGTATACTTGTTCACAAATAATACTCTGTTTGGTGTGCCTTATGTCAATACTGTATCTAGTTTTCAAAAATGTGACCGCATCTCGTATTAAGTTTGTAGTTGAGTGGAATGCACCTTTCCAGTATTAGTCCCCAACTGTCCACTCGCTTTAGCTTTAAACAGCAGAATCGGTAAGCCAAGATCATGCTCGTAAATTTAGGGCCCATTAAATAATTCCTTACATCAAGGCCAATGTCTCTCTGCACCCGTCAGGTGCTGTTAGCTGTGGCACCAAACATAAAACTGCAACATTGGCCTCCACCAGTGTTCTTCATACATTTTCAGAGGCGGGCCACTTTCACCGGTAAGTCATCAGTGTGAGGGATGCCACACGTTTGAAAATATTTGGTTTGGCAGCACGATAATGGGTGTTTTCACCTTTGTGCATTGTTGAGCGCCGCACTAAAGGCCACCAGGGGCCTAGCAATGAAGAACATTGGCCAACAAAAACCCCTTGCATCAATGTGGCATCTTCCCGCCAGCCAAAGGCCCCTTCTTGTCAATAACAGTTTTCACACGGACAGCTCCAGTGGTCGTCGCACATGCAAACCCTCGAGGTTGCTGGTGCAGCTTTACAACAAGCCTTCAATTATTCTTCCCTCTGCAAAAACCACCACCAACAGCCGATCCGACCCCACACCGCTGCATGCCTCCTCGCCACTCACAGTTTGCAGGGGGTTACGGGACAGGTCAATCGCGTATAAGCTGACGTTCTGCACGAACAGGAAGTCCAGCTTTTTGAGTGTGCGGATTAAGTTGTTCGAGTAGTTCAGATAACGGAGCTGGGGCAGCTGCATGACGGTCCCGATGTTGACCGTCTGCAGATGATTGTGAGTGACGTTCAGCACCGTCAAGTTCTGAAAAAAACACACAAGGAGGCATGTGCCCGTGCGGTTACGGCGTTTTCCTCTCGCCTGCTGTTCAGTTTGTACAACAAAAATTACGGCGTGAATGCTCTTGAAAGCCAGATATTTGAGATGGAAAAATGTGTTTTCATGCTTCATTGGCGTTCAGACACAAAGAGAAGGAATTTTCCATTCTGGATTCCCTTCAAGAGCAATGGCACACATGCCGTATAACCAGGGATGGGGGGAGGGAATCACAAGACTTTGCTCAATGTACTTCTACAAAATATTCTGTACTCCCACATGAAGGCCCATCATTTACTTTTGCACACAAGTGAGAGGTTTACTAGGCTGACCAAGTGAAATGAAAATCACTTTTTTTCCCAACTGTGACCAGCCTGAGAGACCACTGCATGGAACAAGCTGCATAACTGTCAGACAAAAAACATGCAGTATTCAGACTCAAACGTGAACAGAGTCGTCAAAGCCCTTGATGCCTCGTTTTCCACCGCCAATGGGAATCGTGCTGGAACCGGGATGGAAGATGGCAGTTGAGTCTGCATGAACCAACCATGATGGATCCTCCAAGATGAATCACAGAGCCTATTCACCAAGTATTCTACAGTGGTACCTCGGTATACGACCGCTTTGGAATATGTCGAATTTGGTATACGTCGTGTTTTTACGAGAGAAAAAATGTCTTGGGATACGACGTCTTGCTTGGGATGCGACGTGCTTGCTAGAACTTGCATGGGTCGGGATGAGTCACCGAGTACCTGCGTAGACCCCGTTCACGACTGAAACAAAGCGAGAGGGGCGGGGGACGTGGGGGAGAGGGGCGGGGGACGTGGGGGGCTGCCCCCATGGAGGGTGGAGCCCCAGGTCGAGGCGCGCGTGACGTGCCACGTGACCAGCGCAGCTCGCAGCAGCGCGGTCATGTGGCTTCTGTATGCATTTTAGTAATTAGTGTATAAATTATTTTATACAACCCAATTAATGTATAATATGCCATATAAAATATCATTTCTTATACTCTGGAACGGATTATTTCCTTTCCCTTTATTTCTTATGGGAAAGATTCGTTTGGTATACGTCATTTTCGGTATAAGTCCTACCTTCTGGAACGAATTAACGACGTATACCGAGGTACCACTGTATTTCTTTGTTAGCCGCGCCAACCCACGCCAACCCAAGAACAGTCATGACATCACAGGAACGACACATTAACTAGGCACACGTGTCATGATGTCACTCTGCTTAGTTCAACTTCCTGGTCGTGTTGGTGCTAAATATTCCCAACCAAAAATGTTCAAACACTATTCGAATTTCATTTAAAATATCCTAACCTAAAGCCTGCTTACATTACACTTTGCAAAAAAAGTCTGCTCTATTTGCAGACCGCTTCCTAAACGCCACCCGGCCGGATAAAGTCAGAAGTATTTGTTGGTGGATGAAGCGAGCGCTCAGGTGTCCAAGCCCACAACACGGCCTCATTTGCACACCCAAGCATGGGGGGGACTGGGGCAGTTTCTGGGCCTGTTACACGCTGTCCCTGGAGCTGGTAAAAACGAATTCAAAGTGACGGTGAACACGAGGCGTGAGCTACCACGTCCCTACCAATGACTCGGTCCAAGTTAAGCCTTTTAAAATATCGGTTACCGTCAACGGCGCGAAGATGTTTTCGTCGGCCGACGTCCGTTGAAGGGTGTTGAAGGACAGGTCGAGCTCGGCGAGCGAGGAGCAGCTCTCGAAAACCCCGTTGTGCAGCTTGCCCAGCTGGTTGTGCGGAATGGAGAGGACAGCGAGGTTGGGCAGCACGGTGCACGGGTTGTCGTTTGGCGACATCTGCGAGATGGAGTTGTAACCGGCCTCGAGGTAGCGGAGGGCAGGATAGCGAGCGAGCAGGTGTGACTGGAGCGAATGCAGCCTGTTGTGCTCCAGCAGCAGGGAGGTGAGATCAGTCGGGAGGTTGTCTGGGACGTGCGACAGCTGCCGGTGTCTGCAGGAAAAGCGAAAAACAACGGTCATGTAAACGACAAGCGTGCACATGCTGTCACTCGTAATTGCTCCATGTTCTGACAGTATAAGTGCAACATCAACAGAAACGAAAAGCATAATAGTGCAAGGACCTGGTCTAACATCCCACTCCAGTCTAACAGACTGTGAGATGCATAAGTACATGACAGCATGGATGCAGTGATTTCTGAAAAATGTATCATAATGCCTTGTGGTCTACAAGTAGACTCCACTTTATTTTGTATTATCTGATACCATGAGAGCCTGTGGGCTGATGTTAACTATTAGTTACATTTATTTTAATTTAAATTAAATACAGGGGAGTAAACTTGTAAACCGCTTGCAGAAAAAGACAATTTGGCCTCGGTTCTGCCGTGTGTGTCTGCACTGGTGGACATTACGTGGTTGGGTAGGTAGGCCAGGCACAGAGACAAATATCCCCTGCATAGCCTTGACAGACTGTTGGGGCGAGTGCTGTTAGCGAGCACCTATGAAGGTCAGCACAGCACACCACGAGGGGGTGGGTGGCCAAGCACCAAGCCCGACCGCCTTTGTCTCCCCAGTGGCGATGTTTACACATCGCACCACCTACTCATTTGAAGCTGAATCGACCTAGGAGAGTCCCAGGAGCAGTTCAGATAATCGTCACTGGTGTTGGCCGTGAGCGGGAATCGAACTCGGGTGGCCGGTTTGGTGGGATGGCGTGCTAACCGCTGCGCCACCGCCCCTCATATGCAAGGTACAGAGCAGGGTGGCACCTGCAGTCCGCTGTGTGGTTGAAGACGTAGCAGCTGTGCGGCGTGGTGGACGGGAGGACATATGATGCCACCTGCACCAGCAGTGAAGGCTGTGCCACCAGCAGCAGCAGCAGCGGTGTCCAGGTAATCTTGAAGGTAGCCCGGCTGTAGGCTGGTCTCTCTGCAACAACCATCCTCCCTGCTGCAGTATGTAATGTGGGAACACAACACTCGTACAAACATAGTCGTGATCACAGTCAAGTGGCTCATATTACATTGTAATATGGCCACAGTCTTTTTTTTGTATCACCCCTCATATTGTAAATGTGTGAAACAAAGTCAAAGGGTCCCCTGGTCAGCTGCATGTACTGTGTATGTTGTTAGTCAGTACCTATTAAGCCCACCATACACAAGAGGAAGCGATATGGCCAATGGCAGGCACAGCTAGTGGCTTTAATATCCCGTGTCTTGATGTTCACGACCACACCACTCCACCAGATACACTAATAATTTTAGACCAAGTCATCCCATAAGGATCATCATCAGTTTCCACTGCTGATGGCGATTTGTTAAATGATCAGAGCTAACTGGTCACAAGACAGCCCTAATGTTTACACGTTTTCCTGGAGAAAGGGACCAGTCATCTTGATTAAAATTATTGCACAATCCCTCTCCTGTGCAGCTACTTCCTCTGTAATATCAACCACTTCCTCAAACACAGTTACTTCTGCATGGCAAATAGGGAAATAAGCCACATATGGTTTCCCTCGTTATGTAAATCACTGTATCCTCGATGGATATGCTGTAATTGAGATCATTTAGCAACTCCATGTAGCCCCGCAAGTAGAGAGACCCAGCCCTGCTTAGCGTTGGGAGATCTCACAAGATATATGTATCTTCTTGGTTCTTTCGGTAAAGTCACGTAGAAGAAAAATAATAAAATAATAAAAATAAAACATAATAAAATAATTCTCACGACGTTTCGGCCACAACGCAAGCAGCCGTCTTCAGGTGGAGAACAAGTCTGTCGACTTGTCATTCAGACTCTCTCTCTCGACAGACCTGTTCTCCACCTGAAGACGGCTGCTTGCGTTGTGGCCGAAACGTCGTGAGAATTATTTTATTATGTTTTATTTTTATTATTGTATTATTTCCCTTCTACGTGACTTTACCGAAAGAACCAAGAAGATGAATCCCTGCAGTCACGAAAGCTTTAAATCGAAAGATATATGTATTTGAACTTATTTCGCACCGTTCATAGTCCACCGTGAAAATTGGATAGGCCACATTCGAGGCGATTTTATAACAGGCATATACAATGTGCCATGTACTATCTTGACAAACGCCTACATTTGTAGGAATTAAAACAAAATCACAATACTGTATTACTTGCGTCACCTGTTTAACCGGCAATGCATTACAATAGCTGTTGGTCTATGATAATTCACAGCCCCTTGTTTAGCCACTGCTGGAAGAGGACCTCTGCTGACACCGTGTAAATGATGGTGGTTTTCTGACCATACTTCACCTCACATGGTCAGTGCGGGTTGCTGGTCAGTGGGATCGGTGCCCCGCTGCTGATATTAGTCATGGCAGAGAATCGAACTCCGGTTCAAAGCGAAGTACTCACCAATCTGCCACCGCTCCGCTCCCAATTTGGTCTCCACACAACAATACTCTACAGATGAAACTGTTTCAAGTCCCATGACCCACACCTCGAGAACGTGGCATCACGTGACACCACATGGATAGACATGTTTAATGAGTTGACATTCCAGGAGCATGACCTTTGCTTCAGGTTTCAGGGCCGACGTCATCGTTTAACAGCAGTATTGTGCGACAATAACACGGTAAAGTTAATTACTTATCCAGGATAGCCTCACCGAGTCTCGTGAAACATTGTCACGAGGATCATGCTACATTGGCACGTTTGGCAAATTACACTTGTTATTTTTTTCTCTCCCAATATTATCTCCTCATACAAATATAACATTGATAAAGTTGGTGCAAACATTACTTAGTTCTACATTTTACGGCCAAACAAAGAAGATACATGTGGTGTATGCTAACAGCATTACATACTGTATTGCACGTGAAAGACACACATGGCCCTGTTGGGACGCACAGACTTTCGGGGACAAATTGATATTGGCGAGCACCTATTAAGGTCGGCATGGGGCACGACTTGACGTGGTGTGGGGCCAGAATCGGGCCCTTGTCTCTTGCCAGTGCTGGCATTCACACGCTACGTCAAGGGCCACCAATTCGTGCGACCCATAGCCTGGGATCAAACTCGAGTTGCCAGGGTTTGTGGCACAATGCGCCAATCACTGCAACCACCGCTCCCCTTTACTATTGCTATAGACCAATGCTGTGCACTGTGCACATGTACACCAAGGCAACAGAGTACACATGTGCACTAAGGCCACAGAGTACACATGTACACTAAGGCAACAGAGTACACATGTACACTAAGGTGACAGAGTACAAATGTACACTAAGGCAACAGAGTATAAATGTACACTAAGGTGACAGAGTACACATGTACACTAAGGTGACAGAGTACACATGTACACTAAGGTGAGAGAGTACATACACTAAGGTGACAGAGTACACATGTACACTAAGGCAACAGAGTACACGTGTACACTAAGGCGACAGAGTACACGTGTACACTAAGGACACAAAGTACACGTGTACACTAAGGCCACAGAGTACACATGTACACTAAGGCAACAGAGTACACATGTACACGAAGGCAGCAGAGTACACATGTACACTAAGGCCAGAGTACACATGTACACTGTGGCCTTAGTGTACATGTGTACTCTGCTGCCTTCGTGTACATGTGTACTCTGTCGCCTTAGTGTACATGTGTACTCTGTCACCTTAGTGTACATGTGTACACTAAGGTGACAGAGTACACATGTACACTAAGGCAACAGTGTACACATGTACACTAAGGCAACAGAGTACACGTGTACACTAAGGACACAAAGTACACGTGTACACTAAGGCCACATAGTACACTAAGGCCACAGAGTACACATGTACACGAAGGTGACAGAGTACACATGTACTCTAACACTAAGGCAGCAGAGTACACATGTACACTAAGGGCACAGAGTACACATGTACACTAAGGCAACAAAGTACACATGTACACTAAGGCAGCAGAGTACGTACTCTAAGGCAGCAGAGTACACATGCACACTAAGGCCACAGAGTACACATGTACACTAAGGCCACAGAGTACACATGTACACCAAGACCACAGAGTACACATGTACACTAAGGCCACAGAGTACACATGTACACCAAGGCAACAGAGTACACATGCACACTAAGGCCACAGAGTACACATGTGCACTAAGGCAGCAGAGTACACATGTACACTAAGGCAACAAAGTACACATGTACACTAAGGCAGCAGAGTAATGTACTCTAAGGCAGCAGAGTACACATGCACACTAAGGCCACAGAGTACACATGTACACCAAGGCCAGAGTACACATGTACACTAAGGCCACAGAGTACACATGTACTCTAAGGCAGCAGAGTACACATGCACACTAAGGCCACAGAGTACACATGTAGACCAAGGCAACAGAGTACACATGCACACTAAGGCCACAGAGTACACATGTGCACTAAGGCAGCAGAGTACACATGTACTCTAAGGCAACAACAGTGTACACTAAGTTAACAGAGTACACAAGTACTCTAAGGTGACAGAGTACAGAGTACACATACTCTTAAGTTAACAAAATGTACACTAAGGCTACAGTGTACACGTGTACACTACGGCAACAGAGTACACATGTACACTAAGTTAACAACATGTACACTAAAGTGACAGAGTACACATCATGCATCTAAATAACTTAACAATGCAACTTATTATTAACGCGACGGGAGTTTTCATCAGCGCACAGCGGACGGCGCCTGGGCCTACTCACCGCGCACTGTGAACCAGTTACCAACACTTTACTACAATTATTTACACACACAGAGATGATGATGTTAAGCAGTATATTACACACACACGTGTGCATTACACACACATATATATATAGACTTTAGTGTGTGTGTGTGCTACGGAGCTTATCGAGTGTATACAGTCCGGTAGAGTTGATAACCCGAGCGCTCTCACCCGCCGCTGTTTCCAAGTTTGCGCAGTGACAGCCACGAGGTAATGTGCGAGTTACTGTGACAACAACAACCGTGCCAGGCTAGGTGCACCAGGAGGTCACGGGGCAGACCCTGCAGGTGCCACGTGTCGAGTGACTGAGATGAGTGGCTGATGCACCACCTGTGCCAGGCTAGGTGCACCAGGAGGTCACGGGGCAGACCCAGCAGGTGCCACGTGTCGACTGAGTGAGATGAGTGGCTGATGCACCACCTGTGCCAGGCTAGGTGCACCAGGAGGTCGACCCAGCAGGTGCCACGTGTCGACTGAGTGAGATGAGTGGCTGATGCACCACCTGTGCCCCCTACTGTGCCAACTTGCTGTGCTTTAGTCACGCGGCGTTGTTGTGAGCGTCGCTCCTCCGCCCTCTGTTGTTGTTGGAGGGCGACTGCCAATACGCGCACACACACACAAATATCTCCCACGTACATGTAGCCTGTAACAGGCTGTAGGGGCAAGTGATGTGAGCGAGTGGCACCTATGAAGAAGGCCGGCACGGCACACGAGGGGGTGGGTAGGTGGCCGGTACCCCTCCCGACCGCCTTTGTCTCCCCCAGTGGGCGATGTCTACACTAACACACCTCTACCAGGTACTCACTCACGAGTCTCCGGTGTTGGTGGCCGTGAGAGGGAATGGAAATTGGGTCACCCCAGCACTGCACTCGGGCAGGGGCTGCAGTCCCGATTGTGATTGATCAAGTATTGGATCACTCGATAGATTACACTGGTCAACAAACAAAAAAATTCTGGCCTGGACTTTTGCAGCTGTTTTAGACTAATTTCAGGGTGCTGATTCCAAATTTAATCTCAGATTTGCTCTATCATCTCATTTTTATGCTATCGGCATACCCCATTTTCATTGATTTTACCCGAAATTAACTCTGTCACTTATGATTGCAAGTTGTTGCGAGTCAGTGACTGCTTTAGTGTTAAAATATGGTGCTGTATTTTTAGGATAGTGTGTTTTAATATAATTTTATGTAGATATCCACATTTATTTAATATTTTTCTTCTGCAGGGCGTGATCTAACAATGGCTACAACATCCGAAAGAAGGAAATGCAGTAATGATCCGGATATTTTCTGCTACATCTGTGGCAGCTTGTCAAGAAGGTTTATCTTGCCTACTTTAAAGTACGACTTGGAGACCAAGACAAAAATTGGGCTCCTCACAAAGTGTGTAAAACCTGTGTTGAAACTTTGCGATCATGGTTTAAAAGAAAGAATGCTAAGCTGAAGTTTGGTGTGCCAATGGTTTGGAGAGAACCTACAAACCATTTGGATAACTGCTACTTCTGCCTTGTCAATGTAAAAGGTTTCAATAAGAAAAACAAACAACACTTACAATACCCAGATATCCCATCTGCCAGACGACCAGTTGAGCACTGTGAGGAAATACCTGCCTGTATTTACTGAGCTACCAGAGATTGATGTTGAATCCCTCAGTTTACCTGCTTCTACAGATGATGATGATGATGCTCAGATGGAATATACGCCATCTGATGCAGATTGTGATCAAATTTATCTGTTTAGTCAGCCTGAATTGAATGATTTTGTAAGAGATTTGTATTTGCCAAAGCAGTCTGCTGAATTATTGGCCTCTAGGCTGCAAGAGAAAGGACTACTCAGACCTGGCACTAGTGTCTCCTTTTATCGTAACAGAGAAGCAGCACTGCGAAAGTACTTCCATTCAGATGGTCAACTTGTTTATTGTAATGATGTTGAAGGGCTTCTTCTCAATATGGGACTGCCCACATATGATTCAAGTGAATGGAGACTTTTTGTTGACAGTAGTAAAAGGAGTGTGAAATGTGTGTTACTTCACAACAGAAATATATATGGTTCAATCCCAATAGGACGCTGTAAAAATGAATGAAGAGTATGCCAACATCAAGATTGTTCTGGATAGATTGGAATACCATATTCATGGATGGCTAATTTGTGTTGATTTGAAAATGGTTAATTTTCTGCTGGGTCAGCAAGGAGGTCACACCAAATACCCTTGTTTCCTGTGCTACTGGGACAGTAGGGCTACATTAGAACACTGGGTTAAAAATAACTGTCCACCAAGAATCAGTTTGACGCCTGGTGACAAGAACATCAAGAATGAGCCTCTGGTTGATAGGAATAAAATTGTATTTCCCCCACTGCACATAAAACTTGGGTTAATGAAGCATTTCGTCAAAGCTCTTGATCACACCGGAGAGTGCTTCAGCTATATATGTTCAACCTTTTCAAGTCTCAGTGCCGAGAAGAAAAAGGCAGGACTATTTGATGGCCCTCAAATAAGAACACTCATCAGGGATCCACACTTTGTTACAACAATGACTGTGGCAGAGGCTAGAGCTTGGAATGCATTCTCTGATGTGGTGCGGAATTTCCTTGGGATCAGGAAAGCGGACAACTATCGAGAGATTGTGGAGGAGCTGTTCTTGAGTTTCCAAGCACTTGGATGTAGAATGAGCATCAAGGTTCACTACTTACATAGTCACTTGGCCCAGTTTCCAGAGAACATGGGTCACGTGAGCGAAGAGCAAGGTGAACGCTTTCATCAAGACATTAAAGTTATGGAAGAACGTTATCAAGGCTGATGGGACTCAAACATGATGGCAGATTACTGCTGGTCCTTGATGAGAGACATTCCACAAGCTGTACATTGGAAATCGTCAAAGAAGAGGTCGTTTATGCAGATGTAACATCACTATTGTGAATGACCTTTTTGTACATATTTTCTTATCTTCACAATTCAATTCTTACATGGTAATATGCATTCACTCACATTGATATGCAGTCACTCTCACAACTTTGTGCTACGGCTCATTGTATATTGTATCTTATCTTATTCTTGTATGGATGTCTGTTTAGCTATTCGTATATGAGCATAAATTTGCTGTTTTTATTGAAAATGCAATATTTGATATCTCACAAACCTGATGTGATAGACAAAAACTGATGCCAGATTTGGAATCAGCACCCCAAAATTACATTAAAACTGTTGGAATACCTTATGCCAGAAAAAGTGTGTTGACCAGTGTTATCGGTTCGATTATTCGACTCATCGGATGACACGAAATTCATGTCTTCGGCTAATACATGTTCCTCCCCAGACATTAATGGTCATCCCCCTGGCCCTTGTAAATATCAACGTTATCCAACAAAGCCCCATCACAAGGGTGAAACAAAAACAAATAACAAAAATGTGCCCGTATTGAAACGGTTGTACGCCGTATGGACCTGAAAACTCATTTCCCTTTACAAGAATACGGAGTAAACCGCATGGGTTGACGGATATGCATGCTGTTGGCATGCAATTCTTGTAACCTTTGGACCAAAATGGGTCGAACGTTCTATATTTACTGGGTCTCTCTGATCAGTGGAAAATAGAGGCATATGGCAAGCAAAATCTAAAAAATACCAAACTAAACCGCACATAGTTCGTGCAAAGTGCAGTACAGTGCTGTGCACACAAACTTGACCGAGGCAATGAGATTCGCTAATGTGCTGTAGGGCACCACGGTGGTGAGATGTCAACTACCTCGCCTGGTATACACGAGGTCTTTGGTTCGATCCAGACCCTGACGCCTCCTGTATATTTGGAGTTTGCAGTGTCTCTCTCCTCGTGTTACTCCGGGTCATCCGGGTTTACCCTTCCACATTTATAAACAACATCACGCGTTCAGAGTATTTGGCTGCTATACATTTCCACATTCCAAGCCAGCTTCGTTCACCTATCATTTGTGGCCAGGTGGCTTCTGAAAAAGAGCCGTATAGCGCAGTGGGAATTACCGAATAAAATAAAAAATATAGTTTCGTTTATTATTACAGCTGAGTAAATAAGGTCACTCAGAGCAGTGGAATGGTGTTGTTCCCTGCCATCATCATCACCCACGATTAATCCACTGCTGGATGAAGGCATCCTCACGCCGTCAGCATGTTTATGCCACAATTTCCACCAATGACTCTGGGTCAGACAATTAGTGAGCTGAACGCTACACGATGCATCATTGTACAATATCATCAGGCATGATCTCCACCAGCTGTCACCATATTTCAGTCTTGAAATGCAGCAATCCATCTCAATGTCATATAAGGTAACATAAATCCTAGTGAAAGAACAACAGTTTTTAGGTACATTATGTTCCTGGCCAACTACAATAGTAAGGGTGCCATTAAAAAGTCATAGTTGGATAGAATATGAATTAAATATCAATGGATAGTAAGCATTAAAAATACAACTCAATATTCACAAATGTTACGTGCTAACATGTTTCTGAATATCTGTAATTGTACACAGTGGTCCAAATGTCTCGTGCCCCCCCCCCCCCCCCCCCCATTTAATCCTCTAAAACTTTAAATACATTTTTAAGTAAAGTTTATTTCAAACGGGAAATGAACATACAAAGGGAGGAAAATAAATGTTTGGGGTGAGTTAGTTGGGAGTCACGAGATATCGGGACCACCCTTTACAGGCACACCCCGTTTAGCGCTACCCCGTACAGCGCTGATTCGTCATCGAGCTGTTTGTAATCACAATTTTTAAGAACAGCACACGCAACAAATGATTTGTAACGCCGCAATTTTAAATAATTGCTGGGCCTTTTAGACGTTCGCCGTTTACATCGAAAATAATTATTAGGAGGGGGTTTTGTTTTTACTCTGCAATTATCGTGTCCGGGAGGAAGCCGCGGACGAAGCAGTCGTGAAAGAGAAGCCACGTGGCGGCTGTAGAGTCACAGGGGTTTGTTGACCTCCTCTGAACTCGAGAGAATGCAGAGGTAAGTAACACATTCCTCCTGCGGAGGGAGCTGGTAGGAACGTTGGGTTGCTCGATCAATGGCCAGGGTCAACAGCGGCGTGGTGTATTCCGCCAATATGCCCGACTGTGAGGGCGGGCACAAGCCGGCGTGAGTAGGTTAAACGTTGAGTTTTATAAGGGCACCACGGGGTGACCAGCCCCTCCCCACCCAGCCCCACCCCTCCCACCCCCCACCCAGCCCCTCCCCATCCAGCCCCTCCTCCCCACCCAGCCCCTCCCCACCCTCCCTCCTCCCCACCCAGCCCCTCCCTCCCCACCCAGCCCCTCCCCTCCCACCCCCCACCCTCCCCAGCCCCACCCAGCCCCTTCCTGCACGACGGACGGACACAATAATCCCCTGTGGGCTGGTGGGACCAGTGGGTTCCTCCCAGTATGAAATGTACTGGTAATGGCAGAACTCCACGACTCCAGGCAGTGGCCCCGAAGCTTGCCATAACGTCAGGGGGCCCTGGTCGAATACAGCCAACGTGAGTTGAGCGTTGACAATTAGACCCAAGGCGAAACATAACATATAAAAGATGGTTTAAAAGTTTTATCATCAGTATGGCATAAGTATACCAAGTTTGCAGTCGGTACCACATTGGGAAGTGGGTTAAAATTTAGTTACAAGATTTGAGGATACAACAACAGAGTGAAAAGAAATCGTGTAATAATAAATAAAATAAAATCGTGTAAAATAATAATAAAAACACCTTTAATGTGACAACATCGTGGCCTTCCATAGCCCGTCCAGCAGAGGTCACCAATGAGTCTTGTATGCTCGAATATTCACGAATTACAAAGCTCTCTGTAGCTGCCGCTGTCGGAGACATCGTCATCTTCAGCACCCACCACCATCGTCGTCATTGGAGATTCAAGTTCAGCATTGACTGGTGTGGTTTCAACCCAGGCTGTGTGATCCTGTCTTTCTTATCTTAGATTTATATATCTATCGATCTGTCCCCTTCATCCAAGCCGCTTGCTGTATAATAGTGCTCACCACTGTACTGCTGTTGCAGCTACTGATGCCGCACTTGCTGCAGCTGCGGCTCTGCAAGCTCTTGCTGATGACCACTGCTGCTTTTAGCTGCTTCTGCTGCTGCTGCTGGTGTCTCTACTGCTGCCCTCTCTGCTGCTGGTGTCTCTGTTTGCTGCCCCCTGTGCTGCGGGTGTCTCTGCTTGCTGCCCTCTGTGCTGCGGGTGTCTCTGCTTGCTGCCCTCTGTGCTACTGGTGTCTCTACTGCTGGTGTCTCTGCTGCTGCCCTCTCTGCTGCTGGTGTCTCTGCTTGCTGCCCTCTGTGCTGCTGGTGTCTCTGTTGCTGCCCTCTCTCTCCCTGCTGCTGTCTCTGCTTGCTGCCCTCTGTGCTGCTGGTGTCTGTTTGCTGCCCTCTCTCTCTGCTGCTGGTGTCTCTGCTTGCTGCCCTCTCTCTCTGCTGCTGGTGTCTCTGCTTGATGCCCTCTGTGCTGCTGGTGTCTGTTTGCTGCCCTCTTTCTCTGCTGCTGGTGTCTCTGCTTGCTGCCCTCTCTCTCTGCTGCTGGTGTCTCTGCTTGCTGCCCTCTCTCTCTGCTGCTGCCCTCTCTGCTGCTGGTGTCTCTGCTGCTGCACTCTCTGCTGCTGGTGTCTCTGCTTGCTGCCCTCTCTGCTGCTGGTGTCTCTGCTTGCTGCCCTCTGTGCTGCTGGTGTCTCTGCTTGCTGCCCTCTGTGCTGCTGGTGTCTCTGTTGCTGCCCTCTGTGCTGCTGGTGTCTCTGCTGCTGCCCTCTGTGCTGCTGGTGTCTCTGCTTGCTGCCCTCTGTGCTCCTGGTGTCTCTGTTGCTGCCCTCTGTGCTGCTGGTGTCTCTGCTTGCTGCCCTCTGTGCTGCTGGTGTCTCTATTTGCTGCCCTCTCTCTCCCTGCTGCTGTCTCTGCTTGCTGCCCTCTGTGCTGCTGGTGTCTGTTTGCTGCCCTCTCTCTCTGCTGCTGGTGTCTCTGCTTGCTGCCCTCTCTCTCTCTGCTGCTGGTGTCTCTGCTTGCTGCCCTCTCTGCTGCTGGTATCTGTTTGCTGCCCTCTCTCTCTGCTGCTGGTGTCTCTGCTTGCTGCCCTCTCTCTGCTGCTGGTGTCTCTGCTTGCTGCCCTCTCTCTCTGCTGCCCTCTCTGCTGCTGGTGTCTCTGCTGCTGCCCTCTCTGCTGCTGGTGTCTCTGCTTGCTGCCCTCTCTGCTGCTGGTATCTCTGCTTGCTGCCCTCTGTGCTTCTGGTGTCTCTGCTTGCTGCCCTCTCTACTGCTGCTGGTGTCTCTGCTTGCTGCCCTCTCTCTGCTGATGCTGGTGTCTCTGCTTGCTGCCCTCTCTGCTGCTGGTGTCACTGCTTGCTGCCCTCTCTACTGCTGCTGGTGTCTCTGCTTGCTGCCCTCTCTCTGCTGATGCTGGTGTCTCTGCTGCCCTCTCTGCTGCTGGTGTCACTGCTTGCTGCCCTCTCTACTGCTGCTGGTGTCTCTGCTTGCTGCCCTCTCTCTGCTGATGTCTCTGCTTGCTGCCCTCTCTGCTTCTGGTGTCTCTGCTTGCTGCCCTCTCTGCTGCTGGTGTCTCTGCTTGCTGCCCTCTCTCTGCTGATGCTGGTGTCTCTGCTTGCTGCCCTCTCTGCTTCTGGTGTCTCTGCTTGCTGCCCTCTCTCTGCTGATGCTGGTGTCTCTGCTTGCTGCCCTCTCTGCTTCTGGTGTCTCTGCTTGCTGCCCTCTCTGCTGCTGCCCTCTGTGCTACTGCTGGTGTCTCTGTTTTCTGCCCTCTCCGCTGCTGCTGGTGTCTCTGCTGCTGCCCTCTCTCTGCTGCTGCTCCTACTGTCAAGCGGGTGCAGCCACTGTACACACGTACACTGTACAGCGCGCGCCGTACAGTGCACACACCGGGTACAGTGCACGCACTGCATGTGCACTGTACGGCGCGTGCTGTACAGTGTACACACCGCGTACAGTGCGTGAGCTGCTGTACGCGGTACAGTACATTGCGCTGTGTGCACTGTACATCAGATCGGGGATATTTACTTCATAGTGGAGGAATGCGATGAGCTGCAAATCTTTCCCAACCCCTCAACAAGACGTCGAGTACCTGGTGGCATTGCGAGTGGCCGCGTTGGAACCCTGAACACCGTCTGTGCGCAGAGTTTAAGATGCCACGCAGAGTGTGTGGAGACACACTCGCCGTAGGGTGCTGTGGTGAAGAAGTGTCCTTGTGAGCCGTGTGTCAGACTGGGCGAAGTATACAGCTTTCAGTTGTATTTGTTTGGTAGAGCCCTGTGAGCCATTCGGCTCTTGAATCGGGTGCAACCGCAACAAACAAAAAACTAAAACATGAACAAGAAAACATCTTAAAGTGACTTTGCACAAACAGAAAAATCCAGGACAAACTGCAAAGTTTTCCAGAAAAAAAGCACCGTACACCAAGGCTGTGCAAAAACCCCAGTGGGATGCAAGTCAAACAACAACCACAACAACAACCACTAGACAACGTAGACTAAAGCCATCATTATAACTCCGTACTACAACAATCTAACATGGCCAAACCAAAAAACTTTTCGAAATCACCAAAATAAAGCCATCAGCAATGTAACAGTGATCATAGGAACTGTGACCGAAATTTCACAATAAACCACATAAACAACATGTACCACCAAAACCTGCAGCCATAGCTGACCGCGGCTTCTATTCGCGATAAATCCGTATTCTGAGGCCCAGCGTCAATATTCCCCACATAGTTGCATTCGCTTTTTGATCCTAATGACAAGGCATGCGGATAGGAGGAGCATTTCTTATTGATTGGTCCATGTTGTGTTTGTTGTTAACAGCGTCCTGTCGGCAAATGAGGTCTGCAGCTGTGGCACAGTTTATAGATAATGATTGTTGTATTTGTGTTGGGGAGCGGTGGTGTACGAACCTGGCCACCCGGGTCCAACACCCAGTCACGATTATCTGAACCGATCCTGGGCCTCCCCTAGGTCGACTCAGCCTCAAATTATTACTCAGTGCGGTGTGTAAACATCGCCACTGGGGAGACAAAGGTTCCGTGCCGGCCTTCATAGGTGCTGCTCGCTAACAGCGCTTGCCCCTACAGCCTGTTAAGGCTACACGGGGGCATCTTCGTCTTTGTTGGCTCCTGCTGTTGGAGACTTCGTGAACATTCCCTGCCTGCAGAGGCTCACGACATCGTCCACTTCCCTTTTCTCGTTGAGGCCCAGCAGTGCGACACGTCGTGGAAGTGTCGCCCCGGGATGTGGGCGCTAGAGACTCGGCGATTTGTCCTCGGGTGACCTCGCATCTCTCTTGGCCTCAAATTCCCTGCGAGTCAGTCAACTACCCACGCATCACGCCAGCCAGCCAGCCCAGCCTTGCCACCCACACGGACACAATCGCACCCTTCCATCCGTGCTCTCTCTCTCTCTCGGCATTTCGCAAGGCTGCCATGCCAACATTTCAGACAACCTTCCAACAAACAAGCCATTTACCCACCCAACCACGCGGCTAACATTAATATCAAACTTTTATTCAAAGAGACAGACATTTGTTCATTCAAACATTTACCCAACCAGCTCACAACCTGCAACAACCAGCCACTCCGTTTTTTTGACACACCCATTACATTCACATTCTCAGCCAATTGCCCAAGTAGCCATCTGCCCAAACAGACATCCTCCACCTTATCCATTTATCTTCCCATCCATTCAGGCACCCAGTCAACATGTATTGCCAACCTGCTCATATCCAACTCGCCAGCCAGACATTTGCCCAAACATCCTTTCTTATCCACCCAGCCAGCTGCCCCTAATATGACCCCCACTGCAAAATGTCTGCACACCTGCCTGCCTTTTAAGTAACCTTCACAGCCTCAACTGTGAGCTCACACGCTCGGGCGAGAACCCCAGGTTAGTTGTCTCCAGTTGTCAGGGTTGAGGATCGTATTGCAGGGACGACGTGACGGCGGTATTAATTGGATAATCCATGTATAGACCGGGTATCTGCAGCCAATTAAACACATTTTTGCAATTCTATTTTTAAGAAGACTTATCAATGCAGCTGCATGGCTCAGGACAAATTAAAAGAGCTGCCTGGAATAATATATTGCAGATCGTGCTGGAAAGGCATAATTGCTGATTGAAAAGTCAATATGTGGCCTGCGCAAGTGGTTAAGCTAATTAACATGGCCCTTTATAAAGGTAATAATTATTGCACAACCACGGCTGAGTGGTCATAAGTCCCGTCAAAATCGGGAACATTTGGGTGTGGGAACATTTCAGAATATAAAAAAATGTAAAAAAAACTGCATAATTGCCTGTTAGTGTGATCAAATGCGGCCTATTTAGCCAATTTAGAAAATTACTGCAGCACATTTTAGAACAGAGAATGCTTACAGCTCAATATGGGTAGTACAAAAGGTGGCTGGGCCTTTTTGTCCCGTGGCACGGAAGAAGTAAAGGTACCTTTTTTGCATAATTTAACTTTCAAACTTGACACATTAAAACAAAGAACCCAATTAGGGTCGAGTTTGCACGGTCACTCAACAAAGACACACGACATCTGACCGACACTCCTCTGATCTACAGGTGTGACTGCTGTTTGTAGGAAACCGCCGGACAACTGACAGAAACAAAGTGGCAAGCCAAAAGCAAAGACAGCGGCTGTCAAGGGGGCAACTTCGAGTGTTGCAGCGCGCGGTCGTGATGGCAGGATGCGTGTCTTCCGGCTACACCTTGGTGCCACACAGGCTTGGCATGATCGTGCGCGGCATAGACTTGGCGCACGGCGACGTGCCCCGTCACGTGATGGAGCAGATTAAGAGCGACGTCACCAAACATCGCCTGCTCATCTTCAAGGTGAGTTGCTCATCATCGCAGCGGATATGGAATTAAAAGTTCACGAAGAGCCTACAATAGTGGTTGCTCCAGCGCTGTGGTGTTGGTGGGGCGAGAGACGGAGCTGAGTCCCTCCCAACGTAATGGTCGGCACCCCTTCTAAACTCTTATGGTTAAGTAAAACAAAGATTGTGCTTTAAACGCCGTTGTGATACTTGCAGTTTATGTGCAGTGTGCAGGTGGTTAATTGCCAGTTGGGATGCATACTTGCAAATAGATGTATTATGCACCAATCCTGGGCTTTCACCCAAGCCAGTTCTCCTGAGGAGCGAGCTGCTTATATTTAATATTCCATCTGTTGAAGGGAGTTCTGATGAAGGAATTGCCAATGCATTCAAATGCGTCAATTAAACCGCCTGCAACTTTGTACTTTGAAACAAGATAACCTGATGTCGGCTTTGTCTCGCCATCACTTTGAGCAGTTTGTGAGCATTCAAAGAGTACAAGACAAAAAACGACTACAAAGATAAACTTAAAGTGTGGCAGGAGAGCTCGGGGTGGGGGGGGGGGTTAATGTTGTGTCAGCACTGAACCAGAAACTGCTGAGAACACGAGTCCAAACTAACCAATTACGATGCAACAGTTATAATTTCATGGGTTGAGGGTCTTGGCTCCGACTGCGTTGCCTGCACAAAAGAAACATAATTACATTTGGTGAATAATTTAATTCTGCATTTTGCAACATTGATAAGTAAAATATGTTTGCTTGAATGCTGTGTAATGAACAGTTTTGGCAGGTCTATTAAGTCCTATTGAAGGGAAATAAGAAGTTAATGCCGTTTTGTCCCCTTCCTGGTGCCAATCTAATAGACCACTTGCTGAAAATGTTCAAAAAAGTTTTTTTCCTCATGTCTCTATGCTGATGTGACATTTATAATTCAATTGGGAGAGGAAAAAAGCTTAAAAAAGCACATGATTGTAAGTAATGTATGTCATTGATTATCATGAGGTCATGCGTTTTGGATTTTTAACACATCTTCAGCGGCTGATGCATTTAACATTCTTCACCGGAGATGTTGGCATTTGCCTGTAATCCAGTAACTTTGAGGCAGGGTTGGGTGGATCATGTAAATTTGTGAAATTCCCAAACTCACAAGATTTTGGTGTGGCTAAGAAGTGGCAGTACATTAGATTGGTTTACAAAGCCGTGTCAGAGTGTTTTTCCTATTGTGTTCGTGGGTTTTCTCAGGGCACTTTCGTTCCCTCCTACTACACTAAGCAAAACAATCCTTAAAACTGAATTGGCCACTGAGTCTTAAGACTCAGTGAGGCTCAACTCTTGGTTGTTACCACGCTCACGTTTACCCCCTGCGCTATTTGCTGTTTTTGCCGTTTAAACATAGGACCAGGGCATCATCTCTGGACAGAAGCAGGTGGACATCACCCGCTGGTTCGGCGAGCCGGAGTCCACCTTCTACAATCACCCCAAGTCGCCGCACCCGGACGTCTTCCGGGTCTCCAACGACCCCGCTGAAGGCTGCACGGGCGTGGGACGCACGGGCTGGCACATTGACGGCAGCTTCATGCCCGCACCCTTCGCCTACTCCATCTACCACATCGTGCGGGTGCCCAAGCGTGGGGCCACAGGTGAGGTGGACGACGCTCCGTCGGCAGTGCCACTTTCGTTTCTTTTTGCCCTTTCGAACTACAGTTAAAAGCGTGGATGCGTTAGTTGTCCGTCTGGTTTTTTTCACCGTCTCATTTGTAGATGTGGGGGGGGGGGAGGTGATAGCTCTTGTAAAGATGTTCATAGATGAAGAACATGTTTGCATAAGTAAGTAAGTCTGAGCATTTCTTATCGAGCAACCTTATGAGTCCAGTCCATCACAAATGAGCACTAATCACTTACCTAAGAGAAACTAGCCAAATTGATCAACTTGAGCACATCTTAAAACAACCTCGAACACGCGTTTAACAGCCCCTTTTAAACCCTCCGTCTCCACCCTTGTTCCCAATCCACATCTCCGTCTCGCACGCGTGCCGTCAGTGCCCTTTAACCCTTGACCCCCGTCTAGTGTATTCCCGTGCGTGTGATTGGTGTGTGCTCTGCTGAGTGTGGAGATTTCATGTTTGCGTGGTGCGAGTGCGTGAGGATGGCTCGCAGATCCCCTACAAAATGATTGCTCAAAAATTGGTGATAAAAAGCAAGCGTTAATAGGATCATGAATGGTCACCATGGCGATCCGTAATTAGGTTTCACGTCAATATTCCCCTTGTCGGAATGAAAACATGACATCAAATGGCTACTTCTGAACTCACTTAATTCGCCCTATTTAAACACACTTGGGTCACACTTGTGATATGCCCGGCAGAGAATGTTCATTGAATGTCAAAATCAAACCAAACATTTGAAGTCCAGAATAATTTAGCCAAATTATTTGAACAAAAACGAATTTAATGTGATGGGTTTTTTGTGCAGTCATCAGTGACGGGGCTGACATCATTAACACACCACACTTGCTTAATTTAGGGACGTCTCCCTGGATTTGAACCCAGGATGTCAGTGGTACCAGCTCAGTGCTCTGACCCCTGAGCTGTATCGTAGCTTGGAGAGGTGCATTATTGGAATTACACTGAGATGCAGGAAGAGGAAGTACATGGAGTGGAGAACATCATAGTGACTCAAAATGAAGGTGTTTTTGGGTGAGATCATGTAAATATAAAGGTGTCCTGAACCCACCACCACCCCGGCGATGTTACCAAAATTGTGGCAAAATCGCCAAATGAAGCTGGATATAATTAACAATGTCGTTAACTCAAATTGTAAATATTGTGGATTTACTCTCCAACACACCGGTGGGCTAAAGTAGTATCTAATTAGCACATTTGTTTACGTGACAAAACTTACTCATTGGCTGTGTCAGGTGGTGGTGGGTTAATGACACATTTATCTTCACGTGATCTGACCCAAAAAAAAACTTTATTGCCGATTATATTGGTCGCGAAAGCCTACGTGTTAAACTGATCATAGTGACTTGGAAAAAAGGTAAGCAAGCTTGGGCGGGCCACGTGGCTCGAAGCGGGTGATGAGCGGTGGACGACACTGGTGACAGTGCCAACAAGAGAGGGTGTCCACCGCGGAGATAGAGCAAATTAAATCACATTGCCTGCATAGGCTGTTTGTAAGTGTATGTTGAACTTCTTTCGTACCATACGTAGTCAACCGTGCTAATCGGAGGTGTGGAGAAGGACAAAAACCGAAACACAAAAAACAAACACAAACAGCTAATGGTATTGTTGCATCAAAGGACCATGAGAGATGATCATGGATTGGGAAGGCCTTCATCAAGTGGTGCATCGAGCCTGACTGATGCTGATGGTCATGATTGATGATGCTTTATAATGATAATAACGGCATGAATGTAAGAACATGTGTGGCATAATTGGAGCAGCTTTTGTGCATTGGGAGCCAGCCATATGCTGTGTTCCCTCCATATAATTTCATGGGCTCCCTTGGCCACTCAATGTAGGTTCCTCACGGTTGTTAGCCCCCCGCCGACACCCACAAAATCAAATTACTTCCCACACACCTCGTCACCTACGTAGGCAAGCGAGAGCTGGTTTGTGATTGATTATCTCTTTCACGAGGTATAGGATCTGGATGACCCGGCCCTCCCGGGAGGATCTCTATCCCGTGGCAGTCAATGGAGTTGATGTGAGATCTTGATGCCTCCCAGCGAACGTTCTGCCTGCTCCATATCACATGCGCCATGACTGAAAGTGAAGAAAATAAGCTGCGGACCGTGATGCCCAGCCAACCTTCACCTCCCCATGGACCAACTAATCGTGTCAACCAGATGCACACGTGTACGTGTGTGCCTGTATCTTTGTACAAATGTATACTTGATAATAAAACAACGATTTTTCTAGCGCCCATGCATGGCGAGCCATCACAAGGGTGCTGGGATATATGCTTATGAGGGTTTTTTTTGTATATTATTTTTATTGAGCCAACTATTGGGGGGGGGGGGGGGGGGGGGTGTACAACTTCAGCAACAGGTGAGCGGTGCATAGCGGGATAGGCGGCTCGGATAGACAAACAACGCGGACGTGTACGACCGTAGCATGATGTGGTACGTGGTGCGTCAGATCCCTTCTCTTCGAGGAAGGAAGGGGGAAAGAGGTGGGCGGAGTTCAATCAAGTACACTCAGGGTCTCTGCAGTGGCATTCACAAGGGGGGCTCAGATCTGGGTGGTCTCCCCTTCCCCATTCATCAGTTTCAGACTCAGGTGTTCTCAAGCTGCTAGGGCGAATAGGGAGTTGTGCCAGAGGGTGAATGATGGGTCCCAATGATTTTTGCAGGAGCTCAGGATGGTCTTTCTAACCGAAATGTTGAATAATTGTAGAAGAGTGTGTTGGTGCCTTGTGATACATTGGCATTTAAGGCCCAGGAGGGAGCTCATGAAGGTTTTTAAAAGCTAACCGCACTCGTCAGTGAAACTGCCTTACAGAGGACAAGTACGTCCGAGGCGATGTGTTGGAGAATGGCCCTCTTTCACAGCACATGCATCACGAGGCCAAATAGGTAGATTGTACAGGGTGGCTCACAAATCAGGACACATGGGGTTATTATGTTTATTGTATGTACGTATGTTTCACTGCTTTCGCACCGTACGTGGTCAATCATGCTAATTGGATGTGCGAGGGAAAGACAACAAACTTAGCACAAACATACTTTCGAAAGAAATTAGTTTTCAATCTAGATTTAAGTGCATAACTCCAGCGGCTTTCTAATATCGGAAGGATGCTTTTAACAAATCATGTAGGGTTATTTTATTTCTTTTAACAACTGTTCAAACTGACTTCCATTAACATTAATGCATCCGTGATTTTTTTATTATTATTAATTTTGGGATTTTAAGATCACAGGTTGTAATATTTGAACATGAATAAAAAAAATGTTGTCTCAATTAATTCAGGGTTTTTGGTTGAGTCTTGTAAACGATGGATTTTTAGGTGACACCACAGGAAGATGAAAAGTAGATATTGATAACGATAATAGATCAAATATTAACTTTAAGAATAAACTATTAAAATAGTTGAATGCCAGTGGTAAATTAAATAAAATAACCCTGTGTATCCTCACTTTTGGGCCTCCCTGTATTAAATGTAAGCTTCCGTGTGTTGAGCAGACTCGAGTCTGCACTATTGGACATCTGTGAAAAATAGTTGTATAGCTCATCAGATTCCTCCAGTATAAATAAATATTCTGATAGCGCTTGTGGATGGGTAGCCACCATGCACAGGATGTTGTTATAGGCTGCAGAACCGTAGCAGTGCAGCTTAAATGCATTGTTGTACTGTTCTTCTTTGCTATCACATGCGCCGCAGCCTTCACCAACCCACACTGACCATTATGGTCAGGTACGGTCAAATAACCCCTACGTCCCGCACAGCTTGAAGAGGTTCTCAGTATGGATTCATATTGATTGTTGGGTTAGGCCACGTAATGATCTGCCCAAATTTGTGTCGTTAAGACCCTCAACTCGACATCACAAAACAAATTAAATTGTCACGTGTACAAGCGTTTAAAGCACCAATTATTATAGCTTCAGCTTGCTGGTAAGTCGAAGAATAATGCTCACAATTCTCAGAACCTAAATTAGTATCTAATGGCGAAAGTTTTTGTTAGATTTGTTCTTCAACCTTACCATTGAGCTGACACAATAATTTGCGGGTAAATCGCTGCTACGCGTGACAGTTTAATTTTCCAGATCATTACTTGGCCCAAGGCAAAAAACAACTTTGAATTAATTCCATATTCACCAAAGCAGTGCATGGAGATATTGTGTTCTTCACCTTTAAACGGGAGTCAGCTGCTCACAAGTCGACATGCAGAAATGGGGCTAGCCTAACAACTCACCCACTCACTCATCAACTCGCACACTCAATACCACACATACACACTCACTCACTCATTTTTACACTCAGACCCACTCAGAATCAGAATATTTATACTGGAGGAATCCGATGAGCTATAAAGCTCTTCTTCACAGAGAGTTACAACAACAAGCAATCACAAAAACACCATCGAAGTGCAAAGTATAGGAAAAGTAAACGAATCACAAAACATTATTAAAGTAAAAATAAACAATTGTTTATTTTACCAGGTAAAGCCCACTGACCAAATGAGCTTATTTTTCAGAAGCGACCTGGCCACATGATAGCTCAACAAAGTGGCTTATCACTTGGAAATTTATAGCAGCCAAATAATCTAAATAATCACTCATCCACTAACCCATTCATTCATACACCCATTAACTCACACACCCACTCACCTGCTCACCTCCTCACTCCTACTCACCTACTCACTCACCCACTCAAAGATCCCCCGTATAGCCTTCACAGACTCTTGGGGCAAGTGCTGTTAGCGAGCACCTATGAAGGCCGGCACGGCACACGAGGGGGTGGGTGGCCAGTACCACGCCTGGCCACCTTTATCTCCCTAGTGGCGATGTTTACACACCATACCAGGTTCTCATTTGAGGCTAAGTTAACCTAGGGGAGGCCCAGTACCAGTTCAGATAATCTTCACTGGTGTTGACCGTGAGCAGAAATCGAACCCGGGTTGCCGGGTTCGTAGCGCAGCGCGCTAACGACTCTACTACCACTCCCCACTCACCCACTCCTCCATTTACTCACGTTCACCATTCACTCACACGGTCACTTGAAATTGGGAGCCGGCAGTGTCATAAGTCAACATGCGTAGGAATTGGGGCTACTTGAGCGACACAGTCAGTCGTGACTGTGAGTGAGACGCAGACCGTGGGACATATATCGGTCTTATCGGCTTCTCCAGGAGCTGTGCACTGCGTTTGATCTTTCCAGCGCTACAGACCGGCCCATATCAGCGTGGGCACGTGTCCGATACTGGATAAACACAGGGCGGTACTGGTGGCAGCACACGATAATAAGGTGATGAAGAAACCTTTGGAATGTAATTCCAAGCCGCAGTACTAATCGGAGACAGAAGGAGGCGATGTTGTCTTGAATCGGCTTGAGATGGCAACTCCACACCCCGAGCAGCCAAACGTGGGGTGTTATATATTGTTTTATATTAACATGTACTCTTATATTTTTTTCTTCAGAATTTTAGCCCTCACTATCTATTAGGTTTTTAATCTTACCTCCGACATGTATGCTGAAATGTTAAATTCGTGAGCGACTTTGTATTTAATTCGAGGAGGCATTATTTTCTCCAAGTTTCGCGACGAAGGGCACTTTTCGTCTTGTAAGTGATTATGAATAAAACAAATTCCACCCTGTTGCAAAAAGGGACAGGCCTGTCACCAAAATGTTTGCCTTCAATTAATTTTGCTTTCACTGCGCTCTCTCCATGTCAACTTCCGTCCGCTGTCACGTCTCATTAATGCTCATTCCACCCCATCCGCGTGAATCTTCATCGGCTCGATTTTAAATTGACCATGCTTTTCATTTTTATTTCGGCCAGCGATTGTGGTGAGGCTACCATGCACGTAAGGCGCTCATAGTTCAACAAACGCTCGCCACCTTCGTCGCGAACGTTGCCCCGTGATGTGCGTATTGCTATAACCATTTTTCGTGATGACTGGGATTGCAGTCTGCTATTGGGGTCTTCCCATAATGCTGCTATGCCTACATTTGTTTTCACCCAGAAGATTGCAAGTAGTGAACATCATCACTTTTTTTTACCTATTTACCCAGAAAGTTTCACTGAGTCTCGAGACCCTTTCAGGAAGGCATTCATTGCAGTGTTTTGCAAATTCGTTTCAAACAAATAATTTTGCATGTAGAGACGGAAAACAGGATTAACCCCAAGAAAGCCTATCACACATACGAGGGAACAACACTCAATGGTCCGCACATATGGGTTAGTGAATCCGTTTGGGCACCATGGTGGTGAGATGTTCTCTAACTCGCCAGGTATACAGGAGGTCGTGGGTTCTATCCTGACTCTGATTCCTGCTGTATATTTGGAGTTTCCATGTCTCTTTCCTCGTGGTCACATAGATTTTTCTCCGGGTTCTCTGATTTTTCCTCCACATTTAAAACATGCGTTTTAGAGTATTTGGCTGCTATAAATTTCCACGTGATCAGCCACTTCGTTGAGCGAACATTTGTGGCCAGTGCTCTTCTGTAAAAGATCTATGTAGCTCAGTGGGCCTGATCAAATAGAATAAAACATTTGTTGAGTTGTAGTTCATTTCCTGCCACCTCCGGCCAGCCTGCCTTGGAACCTAGTTCTGGGATATTACAAATCTGCATGTGGCCTTCGAGCGAGGCACTGCATCGCAGGCTCACGCCAGCGTATGTATTCAGGATTGTGGTTTAATTGAGCTGTGCTGCATTAACACAGAGCAGTGCCTCCATGCCGCCAGCGCTGCGCGAATCTCGACCGGCTGCTCCCCGGCGCGCACAACTTCTGACCTCCCGCGGCGGACCGGGCCGTGACCCCCGGTTAATTTTTGCCCGGGCGGTGTTTGGCGGTGCGTGGCGGTGCGTCGACGTGTGTGACGGTGCGTCGCTAATCCCCGCGCAGTGTTTGCCCCGCTGACTGATCTGATCGAGCGGCTGGAGCCGGAGAAACGCGCGCGCTGGGAGAGGCTCTGGATGGTGAGCGACCGGCGAAACCGGGTGATCCACCCCCTGATTTATCCGCACCCCGCCACGGGCCTGCCGGTACGAGCCGCTTTCTCACACACACGCTGGACCTACACACGCAAACAAGGACAAACAAAGTTCCCCGTATAGCCTTAACAGACTGCTGGGGCAAGTGCTGTTAGCGAGCACCTATGAAAGCCGGCACGGCACACGAGGGGGTGGGTGGCCAGCACCACACCCATCCGCCTTTGTCTCCCTTGTGGTGATGTTTACACATCGCGCCAGGTACTCATTTGAGGCTGAGTAGACCTAGGGGAGGCCTAAGACCGGTTCAGAAAATCGTCACTGGGTGTTGGCCATGAGCGCGCATCGAACCCGGGTGGCCAGATTCGTAGCGCAGCGCGCTCACCCCTACAACACCGCTCACCCCTACAACACCGCTCACCCCTACAACACCGCTCACCCCTACAACCCCGCTCACCCCTCCCCCGGCTCACACATACACATCCCACACCCCTCCATTGACCTGCCGGAATGAGCCGCTTTCTCTCACACACACACACACGCCACACCCCGTCGCGTGACGGTGGCTACAAACCGCTTGCGCAAAGACAAAAATCTCCCAGTATCGCCTTTAATAGACTGTTGGAGCAAGTGCTGTTTCCAAGCACACTCATCACCATTGTTGGCTGCGAACTGGAATCGAACTGAGGTCACTGGGTTCGTGGGACAATGCATTATCCACTCGAGTATCGCTTGCACTCACGCGCACGACATCCATCCTCCACCTCTGCATGCCACACACACACACATCTCACACCCTGCCATTATGAGCCACTTGCACCCCGTGCACACACACTCAACACACACACATCCCACACTCATGCCACCCACACACAAAAGCCCCCACCCGGCTATATATCTCAATCAGCTCAAGCCTCCCATATATCACGTGACTTCTGTGTGCCCACCCCCACTCTGAATATTTGCTTTAGTTTATTATGCCAGGTAGGCCCACTGAGCTATGTAGCTCTTTTTCAAAAGCGACCTGGCCACAAATGATAGCTCAACGAAGTGGCTTATATCTTGACTTAAAGCTTTATTTTTGTTTGCATTCTGACCACAAGTATTGTGGTTAATGCAGACATGATTAGCCGAGGTTTGCCTAGCTCTGCGATCTTACATTTACTTGCAAATTCCATCTCTGGCACCGCCCACTTACCCTTGGATTGTGCCCATCTCAAACCTATATAACCTTTGGCTGCAGTAGCTCTCTCGCTACATGTCTTCCTGCCTCAGCAGTCCGCCTGCTGTATTTTTTCACCTGAAGACGATTGCTTTTGGTGCGATCGAAACGTCGTGATTTTATTTGATTATTTTTCTATCTACGTGACTTTACCGAAAGACCCAAACAGTATGAAGTGGCTTATGTGGAAATGTATTGCAGCCGAATACTATAAATGCATGTTAATAAATGTGGAGAGAAAAACTGGAGGACCTGGAGAAACATCCACTCGACCACGGGGAGAACAGGCAAACTCGAAATATACAGTAGTCAGGGTTGCGATGGAACCGACGACCTCCTGTATGCCAGGCGAGGTAGTTAACGTCTCGCCACCGTGGCGCCCCACTCCCTGCCATCCAACATTCAGGCCCTTCTTCAGCCTCTTGCTCTATATCCTCCTGAGCTCACGTTTTTCCATTTTTTTCCATCCTTTTCCTCTTATTTCACATTCTTTCTCATCTCCCTCCCCATTCTCATCGCTTTCTCTTGGTCCCTGCATTGTATCATTGACTCTGCTCCCCTTGCCGTGGTGTGCCACCAGGTAAAAAGTTGCAAGTAAACAAGAAAAAGAATGACGATCAATATCGTGATCAGTAGCATAGCCACCTTCGTTTGATTCGTGAAATGAGCACCACTGGGTTAGGTTATATCAACGACAGATCGATTCGATTAAAGTTAGACACTCGTGATGCACGCCATACATCCAGTCAGTTGGATCTACGTGAACAGCCCGTTTTGTCAATCCACTGCTGGATGAGGGCCTCCCCATGCCATGCGGGTTGTTAGGATTGCTTTATATGCTACGCTACACTGATCAATGCCGCTTGACGAAGGCGTACATTACAACAATTAAAGTGTTTTCACCTTTCTGCCTTCCGCTGACAACATAGCTTCGCAGCCTATAACGGTTGTTATGCTCGATGGCTAAACTTCCAATCACCTACCGGAGGCAAGCCTGTCGCTAGCTTTTGAGATCTGATGAGATAATCCACATTCTACGTGATATGCCTGTGTGATTTGGTAATTTGCATCGCATCTTATGTGCGGGAATATATATTTATTTATGATGTTTGCAAATTGTATCCATGGATACATTGAGCAAATGAGACTATGAAAACTGGGCACAACAAATGAGAAATCATGCATTAAATTGCAGAGGGCGAATCATTGCAGATACAATTTAGACCGAGTCCCCTTTGGAGTAACTTGGAGTGTTCACTGTTTGGCTTTGAAAATTTCCAGCACAGCTGAACACTGCCGAAGATAATTGAAGAGCTTAACCTTGACTTTACACTTTGTTATATTGTTTGTATGATCAGTTTTGTTGTTTAACTTTTATATGCTGCCTTTGGGTTAGGCTTTAGAAAATAAGCCTACTTAAATATTGATCTTACATCCATTGTAAACAAAAGTCATGACATTTTGTGTCTGGCGCCACTCGTGATGTTCGTGTTGCTCGGAGAGAAAACGGAGAGTGCGGATTCAGCGATCAGCTGGGTGTGTGGTCCCACTCACCCTGAGTTATTTATTTTCTGGATCTGGGCACACAATAAGACTGCACTTTTAATTGGTTACGGAGTGTTCTCATTACCCCTCTGCATTAAGACTCAGATGGTAATCGGGTCTGAGTTGTGAGGACCGTGAGTCCGCGTGACCTCGCGCTCTCTCTCTCTCTGTGTGCACCTCTTTGAGTGTAAAACGGCGTTGCCGCGTTTGGAAAAAGGGGGCGACGGGATGTGTCGATCACGTGACCTCTTGACACAGAGTTGAGCCGCAGCCTCCTGGCTTCATGCTCGGGGCTCGTAGCAAGAGGTTTGAGTGCTGACCTAGCCACCTGAAATGCTTCAAAGTCTTGAGCTGTGCAATAACTTATGAGACTGCGAGGAGGGAATTGCAGTAGGAGGGTGTGAGTTCTGTAATTTTTTTCTATTTTATTTTTATTTTACCAGGTAAGGCCCACTGAGCTATCTAGCGCTTTATTCAGAAACGACCTGGCCATAAATGATATCTAAACGAAGTGGCTTATCATGTGGAAATTGGTAGCAGCCAAATATGCGAAACGCGTGTTTCTAAATGTGGAGGGAAAAACCGGAGGACCCAGAGGAAAATCCACACGACCACGGGGAGAGAGAGACACACGCAGACTCCGAATATACAGCAGGCGTCAGGGTCGAGATCGAACCCACGACCTTCCTGTATACCAGGCAAGGTAGTTGACATCTCCTAGCCACCGTGGTGCTTACTGGGAGGACCGGCATGTCTGCATTGAGATTTGTTAATTTATTATCCCAGACAATGCGTAATTCGGAATGGTGACATGGCCCGGTGGTAGCGCATGTACCGCTTGATGTATAATAGGTTCGTGGTGCGAATCCGGCAGGCCATCCTGGTTAATAGTGCAGGCATGATAAAGTAGTCTGCGCCGTGTGCTTCACAGTGCACCTTAAAGATCCCCTCACATTAAAATTAGTCGGACATTGTGTGCTGGTGTCGCTGTACAAGTTTGAAACATCATTGGCATGCTCCTTACGGGCAGACCGTACCCATCGGTAAGACATACAGCACCTTCGTCCATGATCGTCTGCTTTTTAAGAATAACACGAATACCACATGTCATTCATTACGAATGTTATTGTTGAAATTATTATCATGATCATGCTCATAAAGATGACAGTAATGATGGTGATCATTATAATGTAAGCAGCGATAATGATGATTAAATATTCCCAGTTTCATGATGATTATGGCCATAATGATGACAGTAATTTAGCCAATAATGATTCGCTGTGCAGGCAAATTCAATAAACTGTCACGATATTTTTTTCACATTTTGCCGCTTGCAATTCATTCACTCCGTTAACCTTCATGCAGCCCTGAGCATATTGCCGGCGTTTGCTTTTGTATGAATGATACATCGTCAGTTATCATGCACGAAATTGCTTGTTGTTGTAACTTTCTGACCCGCCCCTAGTAGACATCTGTGAAAAAGAGCTTCATAGTTCATCGGATTTCTCCAGGATAAGTAAAGATTTTAATTCTGAAATATTCGGGAACGTGGAAATCATATTTCATCGATTAATTAATGACCACAAGGAAAGTTGCAGCCCGTGCCGATGGTGACGACAACGCCATCTGGACGAGCCTTCTCTCTCCAGGCGTGACCTCAGTCACCCCTGTGCTCCGTGACGCCGGCGCGAGCAGACGCTGTGCTTCCACCTGGGCATGACGGAGGAGTTTGTGTGGGACGCGGAGGACGCGCCGCGAGCTCGCACCACCGAGCCCGAGGAGACGGGCGCGCTGCTGCGCGAGATCGAGTACGAGTTCACGCGGGACGGGGGCTCCATCCAGTACGAGCACGAGGTGCATCCCGCACAGCCCAACAGTTGGACAGACACACACACACAGCCGTACAGCTGTATAGACACACAGACACATGGCCGTACTGACACACACACACACAGCTGTACAGACACAGAGACACATGGCCGTACAGACACACACACACAGCTGTATAAACACACAGACACATGGCCGTACTGACACACACACACACAGCTGTACAGACACAGAGACACATGGCCGTACAGACACACACACACACAGCTGTATAGACACACAGACACATGGCCGTACTGACACACACACACACAGCTGTACAGACACAGAGACACATGGCCATACAGACACACACACACACACAGCTGTATAGACACACAGACACATGGCCGCCATTCGCCACTAAGTGGCGGTGACGTCACCACAACGCTTGTGCCAGGCCAAGTGCATCTTGAGGCCACGTGAAGTGTCGAACGCCCGCTGGCAGGAGGTCACGGGGCAGACCCAGGTGCCACGGGTCGACTGACTGAGATGACTGGCTGATGCACCACCTGTGCCCCCTACTGTGCCAACTTGCTGTGCTTTAGCCACCCGGCGCTCCGCTCGTTGTTGTGAGCGTCGCTCCTCCGCCCTCCGTTGTTATTGGAGGGCGACTGCCTCCAACTGCCCAGTAGCGTCCTTCACGAGCCTCCTCCACTGAGGCAGATCTTGACACCGCTGGTACCAGTCATCGGCAAGTCTACTCAGCTCCACGTCCTCCTGTACCACATCACCACTCCATCTCTTCTCTAGCCCGTGCCGCGCCCGTTTAGCCCCCTCAATCCGGCCGAACAAAAGCTGTTTAGGCATGCGGTGGCTGAGCATGCGGGCTACATGACCCAGCCAACGCAGTCTTGCCTGCCGGAGGAGCTCACCGATGGGACTTTGCCCAGATCTTTCAAGGATTTGTGAGCTCCTCACACAATCCAGCCTGGTCAAACCCATGATGGATCGTAGGCAGGCCAGCCTAAATGTTTCCAACCGGCGAAGATGCTCCATTAGGAGGGTCCACGTTTCGCAAGCGTAGAGAAGGGAGGGAATGACCATGGCCGAGAAGACCTGAAGCTTCGTGCGGAGCGACAGACCAGGTAGCTTCCACACAGCGTTACGAAACTGATGAAAAGATATTGCCGCTCGACTGATTCGGAGTGAGACCTCTGCTGATAAACTGGAGCCGGTCATAAGCACACTGCCCAGGTATGGGAAACTCTCCACTCTCTCCACAACTGCCCCATCACCGATTGGGAGTTGTGGGGGTGGAGTGTCCGATGGTACAAAATACCCAGGCAGGTGCTTAGTTTTGGTGGGGCTGATGGTAAGGCCCCACCTCTTAGTGGCATGCTCCAGTCTCAGCAGCAGCGTCTCCAACTCCTCTTCTGAATGAGCAGCTATTACCAAATCATCGGCATACATAACGTGGTTGACCATTAGGGAGCCATCCCTTGATCGCACCCGGGCGTCAATCAGCCTCCCATTATATCTGTACCAAATGGAAATTCCCCCGGTACAGCTATTGAAGGCTTCACGAACTACGCAGTCGAAATAGATGTTAAATAATGTGGGAGCCAGAGGACATCCCTGTCGCACCCCAAGGTGTACAGGGAAAGGCTCCGACTCCCGGCCACGTAGTTTTACCCGGGCCCGCTCACCATCATGAAGGTCCTTAATGATCGTGAGCAGAGGGTCAGGGACTCCGAAAGCACGAAGAACAACCCAGAGCCCGGGCCTACACACACACACAGCTGTACAAACACAGAGACACATGGCTGTACAGGCACACAGCCGTACAGCTGTATAGACACACAGACACATGGCCGTACAGACACACACATACACAGCTGTACAAACACATAGACACATGGCTATACAGACACACAGACACACAGCTGTATAGACACACAGGACACACGGGACACAAGGCCCTACAGCTGTACAGACACATGGCCGTACAGACACACACACACACACTGCTGTACAAACACAGAGACACATGGTCGTACAGACACACAGCCGTACAGCTGTATAGACACACAGGACACACGGGACACAAGGCCCTACAGCTGTTCATACACATGGCCGTACAGACACACACATACACAGCTGTACAAACACAGAGACACATGGTCGTACAGACACACAGCTGTATCGACACACAGGACACAAGGCCCTACAGCTGTACAGACACATGGCCGTACAGACACACACACACAGCTGTACAAACACAGAGACACATGGCTGTACAGACACACAGACACACAGCTGTATCGACACACGGGACACAAGGCCCTACAGCTGTACAGACACATGGCAGTACAGACACACACATACGCACCACCATACAGCCACACAGCCCTGCAGCTGTAGACACACAGAAACATGGCTGTACAGCTGTACACACACAGCTGTAGAGCTGTACATCCGTACAGTCACACGGTGGTACTGCCATACACACATTCACAGCCATTCGACCACATGGCCAAACAACTATAGACACAAAAGTGCACAGCTTCACAGCTGTACAATTGTAAACATCCCCCGTGTAGCCTTAGCAGACTGTTGGGGCAAGTGCTGTTAGCGAGCACCTATGAAGACCCGCGTGGCACACGAGGGTGTGGGTGGCCAGCACCACGCCCAGCTCCTTTGCCTTCCCAGTACTGCTGTTTCATACACATCGTACCAGTCACTCATTTAATGCTGAGTTAACCTTGGGGCGGCCCAGGACTGGTTCAAATATTCGCCAACTGTTATTGGTCGTGAGCGGGAATAGAACTTGGGTCGCCGGGTTCTTAGTGCAGTGCACTAACCACTGCGCCACCGATCCCAGATGTTCGTGTGCCTATACAGCTGTACAATCACACTGGCAGACAGCTCTGAAGACACAGCCGTGCAGCAGCACTCAGCATGCACACAAACATTCAGTCACGCAGCAGCACTCAGCATACACACAAACATTCAGTCACGCAGCAGCACTCAGCATACACACAAACATTCAGTCACGCAGCAGCACTCAGCATGCACACAAACATTCAGTCACGCAGCAGCACTCAGCATGCACACAAACATTCAGTCACGCAGCAGCACTCAGCATGCACACAAACATTCAGTCACACAGCAGCACTCAGCATACACACAAACATTCAGTCACACAGCAGCACTCAGCATACACACAAACATTCAGTCACACAGCAGCACTCAGCATACACACAAACATTCAGTCACACAGCAGCACTCAGCATACACACAAACATTCAGTCACACAGCAGCACTCAGCATACACACAAACATTCAGTCACGCAGCAGCACTCAGCATACACACAAACATTCAGTCACACAGCAGCACTCAGCATACACACGAACATTCGGTCACACAGCAGCACTCAGCATACACACAAACATTCAGTCACACAGCAGCACTCAGCATACACACAAACATTCAGTCACGCAGCAGCACTCAGCATACACACAAACATTCAGTCACACAGCAGCACTCAGCATACACACAAACATTCAGTCACGCAGCAGCACTCAGCATACACACAAACATTCAGTCACACAGCAGCACTCAGCATACACACAAACATTCAGTCACACAGCAGCACTCAGCATACACACAAACATTCAGTCACACAGCAGCACTCAGCATACACACAAACATTCAGTCACACAGTGGCACTCAGCATACACACAAACATTCAGTCACACAGCAGCACTCAGCATACACACAAACATTCAGTCACACAGCAGCACTCAGCATACACACAAACATTCAGTCACACAGCAGCACTCAGCATACACACAAACATTCAGTCACACAGCAGCACTCAGCATACACACAATCATTCAGTCACACAGCAGCACTCAGCATACACACAATCATTCAGTCACACAGCAGCACTCAGCATACACACAAACATTCAGTCACACAGCAGCACTCAGCATACACACAAACATTCAGTCACACAGCAGCACTCAGCATACACACAAACATTCAGTCACACAGTGGCACTCAGCATACACACAAACATTCAGTCACACAGCAGCACTCAGCATACACACAAACATTCAGTCACACAGTGGCACTCAGCATACACACAAACATTCAGTCACACAGCAGCACTCATCATACACACAAACATTCAGTCACACAGCAGCACTCAGCTTACACACAAACATTCAGTCACACAGCAGCACTCAGCATACACACAAACATTCAGTCACACAGCAGCACTCAGCTTACACACAAACATTCAGTCACACAGCAGCACTCAGCTTACACACAAACATTCAGTCACACAGCAGCACTCATCATACACACAAACATTCAGTCACACAGCAGCACTCAGCATACACACAAACATTCAGTCACGCAGCAGCACTCAGCATACACACAAACATTCAGTCACACAGCAGCACTCAGCTTACACACAAACATTCAGTCACACAGCAGCACTCAGCATACACACAAACATTCAGTCACACAGCAGCACTCAGCATACACACAAACATTCAGTCACACAGCAGCACTCAGCATACACACAAACATTCAGTCACGCAGCAGCACTCAGCATACACACAAACATTCAGTCACACAGCAGCACTCAGCATACACACAAACATTCAGTCACGCAGCAGCACTCAGCATACACACAAACATTCAGTCACGCAGCAGCACTCAGCATACACACAAACATTCAGTCACACAGCAGCACTCAGCATACATACATACACACAAACATTCAGTCACACAGCTGCACTCAGCATACACACAAACATTCAGTCACACAGCAGCACTCAGCATACACACAAACATTCAGTCACACAGCAGCACTCAGCATACACACAAACATTCAGTCACACAGCTGCACTCAGCATACACACATACATTCAGTCACACAGCAGCACTCAGCTTTCACACAAACATTCAGTCAAACAGCAGCACTCAGCATACACACAAACATTCAGTCACACAGCAGCACTCAGCATAC